TATGAAACAGAACCTTAAGTGGTGCCTTTTGCTATTTGCCGATTTTGTCATTTTTATTTTTCTTGGTTTCCATGGAAACATTTTGGACTTAGTCTCAAAAAGTAAGGATTGCTTTCGTTTCCTCGAGCACAACTCAAAACCGTATAATATTTTTCAACAAAACTTGATAGATATATCAAACAGATCCTAAAGTTGTGCCTTTTGCTATTTGCAGATTTTTGGCATTTTTATTTTTCCCGGTTTCCATGGAAACAATTCGGACTTAATCCCAAAAGTGAGGGGTGGGCTTCGTTTCCGGAGCACAACTCAAAAACCTCTCTATATCTTTCAGCAAAACTTGGCAGATATGTGAGGCAGATATTGAAGTGATGCCTTTTGCTATTTGCAGATATTTGTGATTTATTATTTTCTCGGTTTCCATGGAAATGATTCGGACTTAGTCTCAAAAAGGAAGGGATGGGTTTTGTTTCCGGAGCACAACGCGAAAACTTCTTAATATCTTTCAGCAAAACTTGGCAGATATGTGAGGCAGATCCCAAAGTGGTGCCTTTTGCTATTTGCAGATTTTTGTCATTTATTTTTTTCATGATTTCCATGGAAACGATTTGCACTTAGTCTAAAATCAAGCTGGACTTTAAGTAACTGTCAGATGATTTGTTCTTTCAAAGATGTGGAGGCCGGGGGGATATGTCATCTTCTGATGACTAAATGAAAGTGACCTTTTTATATATATTTAATACTTTATACACATTAACATGTCATTAACACATGTCCCACTCAATCACAATAATAGATGAGTTATACAACAACCACATAGCATCAAAGGATGGGAGAAACTGGAGATAATCCTCAGGGAAAACGTCAGCATTCTTCCTCAAACTTGAAAGTTCGTCATCATAGATGTTTGTTATTGGTGTTGTCTCAGTTGTTGATAATTGATTACATTCAGGTCAGAGAATACAAGACTTAATGTTTTACAGTACCTTTACAGCGAGATTTGGTACAGCGCCAATATACTGTCTCATTTTTATGTCTATTTACTCGGTACTTGTATCCGCCATGGTAAGCATGTCGTCCGCCTTGAAGATGATGTATGAAAGATACTGACACTTGTACATTCGCCATTGCAATAATGTAACATGGTAAACATAACCTGTGTGATATATATACACATATCCTGCACCAAATTCATCTCAAAGTCACATAAAGCTACTTTAACTTCTTTAGCTTAAAGGTCACATGCAACGTAAAACACAACTTTGCAGATTCTGATACCTTTCGGTATGGACTTACCGAAACAAATCGTCAAAAATGCAAATTCAACTTATAAAGTTGAAAAATAACGCGATGAAAAAAACCGCGCGAAATCGGAGTTCAAACGCTTTTCACTAAATTTCCCCAGAATTTTCTGGGGAAAACGGGTTTCAACAGCTGGGCTAAGCGCATAGCATGTGCTCAGTGAAGTAGGTTCACAAGCAGCTTAGAAGCAGGTTGTCCGTGAATACCGGTGACGGCTTTGGTGTGAGCTTATTTTTCTAATGTTTTGTTTATATCTCACAGGCGCAGAGCTTTCATATGTTATGACAGTAAGTTAACTGTTTATATAATTTCATTTGTCTATTTCACCACACGCTCTTCTTACCGAAGTCACTTTCTCAGTTCGATACTTAAAAGCAATATCATTATTTAGCTGACAGAATTTCTAACTGTGATATAGATATGTCATTGTCACAGACAAAACTCAGTGTCTTGTTTTATTGACACCTGTGTGTCTGCCTGTTTGTCTGCTAATGACAATATTCAATACACAGCTGCTGTCACTGCACACATGCAATTTGAACTTAACACCAATCAGGCTATACACCATAAACAAAATGCATTGATTTATGGCCCGAAGTTCGGTCTCTGTCACATTATGTAATTACACAGACAGGCAGGGTGATACTTGAACACATGACATGTTATGATGTCTGTTGATTGCAAAATGTTATACACAAAAAATGGGCATGTATTTACAAAACCCAACATCTCTATATATACACACACAAATAAGCCGTGAGGGCATCTGCAAATGAACCAGCCGTTACACTTGAGTGCACACCCACCGCCTGACTGGGTTCGGTATCCCGGCTGCTTCGTTTCTTGGGAAGTAAAGCGAAGTACACAATATTGCACTTTTGATTTGCGATTGTACGCTTATAATTTTGTTTATATGTTTTTTCATAACCAGCAATGTATATTATATGTCATGAATAAGTGATAATTGTGTTTTATTTATGTTTGATTTTTTGGTTGCATGTGACCTTTAAGTTATGTTGTTCTAAGAATTAATGGAGTGCTGGGATAAATAAAATAACTAAATAAATAAATGGTAAACTTAACCTGTGTACTTATATATTTCCACATATCCTGCTCTAAATTCATCTCAAAGTCACATAAAGCTACTTTAACTTCTTTAGCTTAATTTATGTTGTTCTAAGAATTAAGAAGTGCTGGGAGAAGGGACACCCCACTTGGGAACTTAGCCTGTTCCAGTGAGACTCCACGGTTCAGTGATTATAGATATTAGACGTCCTGATATGTCTGCTCATTAGGCGATGTGGGAAAAATTTAGCAGGAAATTTAGGCGGAGCGGGTATGCACCTTAATTTTTGTGTGTTTGCGACTTTAGTCGGTTATCTCCCAATTGATAGACACCCAATTGACTGACAGTCGATTGACAGAAACTGAACTAGAAGGTTAATTAGGGTAACACCTACTGGTATAATGGTACAGTCCACTGTCTAGTGAGTAGAGTAGGGTGAGCCTGAAACAGGTTTGTTACTGAGAAGTTTCATTGTGTGTAAATAGAACTTTGTTGTGATTAAATGATAATCTGTCTTTTCTTCTCAAAAATGTTTTTCTATCAATTATTATCGAATATAAAAACAGGCTTATCACTAGGTGGTTTGATTGTGTTTATTGATTAAAACATATTTCATTCATTCAAGAGAAGGATTGGGCACAAGTTACCCTACTCAGAAAAGCTCTCTGCCAATAATTACACCATTCATCTTACAACAATGTACACAAGTGACAGACAGGCAAGGATATATACAAAAGACGTAAACTGAGAAAACGTTTGTTTGAGAGATATAGATATGTATATATTTGAAAACTTTCTGATTTTCAGTAACTGAGAGAACTGCATTGCCATGTAAGATAAGATTAATACCAATCAGTGTTCTATGTAATGAAAACCTTTCTCATATCCATGGCCACATTGACATGAGATTTTTCTTTCACGTGGATATAAGATTAAAATGATGCAACAGAGTCGCAATTTCTAATAACTAATAAAATTATCGGAGTTTCTTAAGTCATAACTTGTCTGCCTACTACAGGTGGGAGTAAATCCTGAAGAAAAAACTGGTGCAAGAATTTGATAAAATATTAATGTTAATTTGCATATTCTCCTTCTCGCAGAAAGTAAATCCCATCCCGTTTCATAATACAACGAACTGGAAGATGCATATCTTGGAAGACCAGTAACTATACGAACTGCTTCAAGTTGGAGTTTTTCTAATCTATTAGCTTGTTCAGTCAAACATCCATCCCATACCTCAAAGGCGTACTCAAGATGTGGCCTTATAACAACAGTATATATTTTTATCCCCCGCAATACGTTTTGTGGGGGTATTAAAATGGACTCTGTCCGTGCGTCCGTGCATCCTTGCACATTTGTCATTTCCGGAGTAGTACTTTAAAACCGTTCAATGTTTCTTCACCAAACTTGGCACATACATACATTTGGTGGTGTAGTGGTGCCTTTTGGTAGTTTGGGAATTCTGCATAAAAAATATTTGGCGTTTCCAGTGCAACAAGTTTGACTGAGACTGAAATTGGTGGTAGTGCTCTTTTCCGGAGCAGAACTCTAGAACCGTTCACTATTTCTTCACCAAACTTGGCACATAGATTGGTCTGGTGGTGTGCTGGTGCCTTTTGAAACTTTAATATCTGAAATGTTCCATTCATTTTAGATGTCTTTTTGACAATGTTTTCAATTTTATGATGCCAACTCCTGTGAGATGAGAAAGTTAAACCCAAATGTTTATGAAAATGAGCTGTTTTATATTGCAGCAATCAAAATTCAAAGTAATGTCTTTTCAGCCATCTTTCAAAGTAAATGAGATAGCTTCAGTTTTAATCTTGTGATTTTATTTAGACTATTCCATATTAATGTGCAGGTAACAGGGAGTAGCTAATCTGTTCACTGAACCGTAAATGTTGTTGTTTTAAGTCGTCTGCGAACTGCCTGTCTGCGTAATTGGAGGACACCCTTTAGCCAGTTTATCTTTGTAGTTCTTATGAACACCAGGTGTTCAGCTATCATGTGTGAGCATGGTGGAGCAAGTGATTTTGGGACACAGATTTTTACACTCTCCCTTATTTTAAACACATCTGCCCTTTAAATGCATTTTAACATTGGCTATATACAAAGTATTTCAAGTAACCCCCTGTATTGATTCCAGGTTAGTATGTGCTCCAAGCAACCGATATGTATACTGGTTGATGAGGCTCTGAGAGGCTCATGTCATCGTACACCAGTGTGGAATGGTGGACTGTGCTATTGATTACTGGTGTTTCTCATCCAGATGTGACTATTTACAGGGGGAGGGGAATATTGTGAAACAATAACCTCTTGTTTGCCCATATGAATGACAGTAATGAGGAGTGTTATAGTGAACTGCGTTTTTTGTTTAACGCTGCACTCAGCAATATTCCAGCTTTTTGGTGGTGGTCTGTGAATAATCATGTCTTGACCAGACAATCCAGTGATCAACAGCATGAGCGTCGATCTACGAATTGGGATGTGATGACATGTGTCAACCAAGTCAGTGAGCCTGACCACCTGACTACCAATAAGCATGGTTGCTGAAGACCAATTTCTAACCCGGACCTTCACGGGTCGAGTATTATTGTGAATTTTGTTGGTCTCCAGTTTCATGTGATGTTTACAGTTTCAGATGCAGATGAAAAGGTTGATCCTCATCTGATAAACCACAAGAACATTCAGGGCGTGCGGAACTCACTGGCCAAGGAGTTCATGGACAAGCTGACCGCCAGTAAAAGAAGATGTCCACAGTGTGGTGTGGTGCTGAGGAAACTGCAGCAGAAGTATAACACTTCGATTGGGCTGTACGGGAAGGCAATGAAGATAAATAAGTAAGGTTCAGTTTCTGTTTTGAGTTGTAGCTAGTTACCATAAAGAAATGCCTTGTAAAATAGGTCTCATTGGTAGAGCTGTCTGGCTGGTTGCAGTGAAGAGACCTTCTTAGTGGCGATATGCTCTATGGTGATGCCCAAAGTATGATAACCTCACGAAACACTAGGTAGTGGCTCCCTCAGTAGTGATGCTCTAAGTCGTGATGCCATCAGTAGTGATGCTTTAAGTTGTGGTGCCCTCAGTAGTGATGCTCTAAGTCGTGATACCCTCAGTAGTGATGCTCTAAGTTGTGATGCCCTCAGTAGTGATGCTCTAAGTTGTGATGCCGTAATGATGCCAGTAGTGATGCTCTAAGTAGTGATGCCCTCAGTAATGATGTTCTCAGTAGTGATGCTCTAAGTCGTGATGCCCTCAGTAGTGATGCTTTTAGTCGTGATACCATCAGTAGTGATCCTCAAAGTAGTGATGCCCTCAGTAGTGATGCTCTAAATTGTGATGCCCTCAGTAGTGATGCTCTAAGTTTTGATACCCTCAGTAGTGATGCTCTAGGTTGTGATGTCCTCATTAGTGATGCTCAAAGTTGTGATACCCTCAGTAGTGATGCTCTCAGTAGTGATGCTCTAAGTCGTGATGCCCTCAGTAATGATGTTCTCAGTAGTGATGCCATCAGTAGTGATGCTCTAAATCATGATGCCCTCAGTAGTGATGCTCTAGGTAGTGATGCCCTCAGTAGTGATGCTCTAAGTTGTGATGCCCCCAGTAGTGATGCTCTAAGTAGTGATGCTCTAAGTTGTGATACCCTCAGTAGTGATGCTCTAGGTAGTGATGCCATCAGTTGTGATGCTCTAAATTGTGATGCCATCAGTAGTGATGCTCTCAGTTGTGATGCCCTCAGTAGTGATGCTCAAAGTAGTGATGCCCTCAGTAGTGATGCTCTAAATTGTGATGCCCTCAGTAGTGATGCTCTAAGTTTTGATACCCTCAGTAGTGATGCTCTAAGTTGTGATGCCCTCAGTAGTGATGCTCTAAGCAGTGATACCCTCAGTAGTGATGCCGTAAGTAGTGATGCTCTAAGTTGTGATACCCTCAGTAGTGATGCTGTAAGTTGTGATGATGCTCTAAGTAGTGATGCCCTCAGTAGTGATGCTCTCTGTGATACCCTCAGTAGTGATGCCCTCAGGTAGTGATGCCCTAGTAGTGATGCTCTAAGTAGTGATGCCCTCAGTAGTGATGCTCTAAGGTGTGATGCCATCAGTCAGTAGTGATGATGCTCTAAGTAGTGATTCCATCAGTAGTGATGCCCTAGGTTGTGATGTCCTCATTAGTGATGCTCAAAGTTGTGATACCCTCAGTAGTGATGCTCTAAGTAGTGATTCCATCAGTAGTGATGCTCTAGGTTGTGATGTCCTCATTAGTGATGCTCAAAGTTGTGATACCCTCAATAGTGATGCTCTAAGTAGTGATGCCATCAGTAGTGATGCTCTAAGTAGTGATGCCCTCAGTAATGATGTTCTCAGTAGTGATGCTCTAAGTCGTGATGCCCTCAGTAATGATGTTGTGATGCCCTCAGTAGTGATGCCCTAAGTAGTGATGCCCTCAGTAGTGATGCTTTCCAGTAGTGATGCCCTCAGTAGTGATGCTTTTAGTCGTGATACCGTCAGTAGTGATGCCCTCAGTAGTGATGCTCTAAATTGTGATGCCCTCAGTAGTGATGCTCTAAGTTTTGATACCCTCAGTAGTGATGCTCTAAGTAGTGATGCTCTCAGTAGTGATGCTCTGTGTGATGTCCTCATGCTCAAAGTGATGCTCAAAGTTGATGCCCTCAGTAGTGATGCCCTCAGTAGTGATGCCCTCTAGTAGTGATGCTCTAAGTCGTGATGCCCTCAGTAGTGATGCTCTCTCAGTAGTGATAGCCATCAGTAGTGATGCTCTAAGTCATGATGCCCTCAGTAGTGATGCTCTAGGTGATGATGCCCTCAGTAGTGATGCTCTAAGTAGTGTGATGCCCCCAGTAGTGATGCTCTAAGTAGTGATGCTCTAAGTTGTGATACCCTCAGTAGTGATGCTCTAGGTAGTGATGCTCTAAATTGTGATGCCTAAGCAGTGATGCCAGTAGTGATGCTGCTCTAAGTTGTGATGCCCTCAGTAGTGATGCTCAAAGTAGTGATGCCCTCAGTAGTGATGCTCTAAGTTGTGATGCCCTCAGTAGTGATGCTCTAAGTTTTGATACCCTCAGTAGTGATGCTCTAAATTGTGATGCCCTCAGTAGTGATGCTCTAAGTAGTGATGCCCTCAGTAGTGATGCTCTAAGTTGTGATGCCCTCAGTAGTGATGCTCTCAGTAGTGATGCTCTAAGTGCTCTAAGTTTGATACCCTCAGTAGTGATGCTCTAAGTTGTGATGCCCTCAGTAGTGATGCTCTAGGTAGTGATACCCTGAGTAGTGATGCTCTAAGTAGTGATGCCATCAGTAGTGATGCTCTAAGGTGTGATACCCTCAGTAGTGATGCTCTAAGTAGTGATTCCATCAGTAGTGATGCCCTAGGTTGTGATGTCCTCATTAGTGATGCTCAAAGTTGTGATACCCTCAGTAGTGATGCTCTAAGTAGTGATGCCATCAGTAGTGATGCTCTAGGTGATGTGATGCCCCTCAGTAGTGATGCTCAAAGCAGTGATGCCCTCAGTAGTGATGCTCTAAGTGATGCTCTAAGTAAGTGATGCCCTCAGTAGTGATGCTCTAAGTAGTGATGCCCTCAGTAGTGATGCTCTAAGTAGTCCCTCAGTAGTGATGCTCTCAGTAGCGGATGCCCCCATGTAAGTAGTGATGCTCCAGTAGTAGTGATGCCCTCAGTAGTGATGCTCTAAGTAGTGATGCCCTCAGTAGTGATGCTCTAAGTAGTGATGCCCTCAGTAGTGATGCTCTAAGTAGTGATGCCCTCAGTAGTGATGCTCTAAGTTGTGATGCCCTCAGTAGTGATGCTCTAAGTAGTGATGCCCTCAGTAGTGATGCTCTAAGTAGTGATGCCCTCAGTAGTGATGCTCTAAGCTCTAAGTGATGCCCCCAGTAGTGATGCTCTAAGCCCTCAGTGATGATGCCATCAGTAGTGATGCTCTAGGTTGTGATGCCCTCATTAGTGATGCTCTACCCCTCAGTAGTGATGCCCTAAGTAGTGATGCCATCAGTAGTGATGCCCTCAGTAGTGATGCTCTCAGTAGTGATGCCCTCAGTAGTGATGTGATGCTCAGTAGTGATGCCCTCAGTAGTGATGCTCTAAGTAGTGATGCCCTCAGTAGTGATGCTCTCAGTGAGTGATGCTGATGCCCTAAGTAGTGATGCCCTCAGTAGTGATGCCCTCAGTAGTGATGCTCTCTGATACCCTCAGTAGTGATGCCCTCAAGTAGTGATGCCCTCAGTAGTGATGCTCTAAGTAGTGATGCCATCAGCTCTGATGCTCTAGTCAGTCTAGTGATGCCCTCAGTAGTGATGCTCTAAGTAGTGATGCCCTCAGTAGTGATGCTCTAAGTTGTGATGCCCTCAGTAGTGATGCTCTAAGTAGTGATGCTGTAAGTAGTGATGCTCTAAGTAGTGATGCCATCAGTAGTGATGCCCTCAGTAGTGATGTTCTCAGTAGTGATGCCCTCAGTAGTGATGCTCTAAGTAGTGATGCTCTAAGTAGTGATGCCCTCAGTAGTGATGCTCTCAGTAGTGATGCTCTAAGTAGTGATGCCATCAGTAGTGATGCTCTAAGTCGTGATGTCCTCAGTAGTGATGCTCTAAGTAGTGATGCCATCAGTAGTGATGCTCTAAGTTGTGATGCCCTCAGTAGTGATGCTCTAAGTCATGATGCTGTAAGTCGTGATGCCCTCAGTAGTGATGCTCTAAGTAGTGATGCCCTCAGTAGTGATGCTCTAAGTTGTGATGCCCTCAGTAGTGATGCTCTAAGTTGTGATGCTCTAGTAGAGACACCCCAGTAGTGACACCTAGCAGTAGAAAGAATAAAGAAACCCTAAAATAGTCACATATACAAATTATCATTACTATTTTAACTGATTACAATTATGTTAATACAAAAATATTCGTTGGCATCTTTGGACTGGGGGTATCGTCTGCTATGTAAGATAACTGAACATTTGTGGAAATGTGCATACAGTACTGTATAGTACTGGATTAAGTGACTCTCCCATCACACTGATCTGCTCACAGGCAACAGAAAAACACAGAAAACAAGAAGACCAAGCTGATTGACCTTGACGAGGACAAAGAGAGAGAAGCAGACGTGGAGGAACTCAAAGAAGGTGAAGGTGAAGGTGAGGACAAGAAGCTGGACAACTCACTGTTTACGGACAACAAGGCCTTCACCATGCTGACTCCGTCCTTAGTACGTGAACATGTGCAGGAGGTGTACTCCACCGCTGGACCCCTCCTCCGAATCCTCTTCGAGTCATTGGGCAAAGTGACCAAGGCTTCACATCCAACTGACATCTTCTTTGTGGACGTGATTCCTGTTTGTCCATCACGATACAGACCTGTAAGTAGCTGTAAGTCCCCTCTCTGTTTCAGATATCCATGTTAAAGGGCCACTCTGTGTTTCAGATATCCATGTTAAAGGGCCCCTCTGTGTTTCAGATATCTATGTTGAAAGGCTCCTTTGTGTTTCAGATATCCATGTTAAAGGGCCCCTCTGTGTTTCAGATATCCATGTTAAAGGGCCCCTCTGTGTTTCAGATATCCATGTTAAATGGCTCTGCTGTGTTTCATATATCCATGTTAAAGGGCCCCGCTGTGTTTCAGATATCCATGTTAAAGGGCCCAGCTGTGTTTCAGATATCTATGTTGAAAGGCTCCTTTGTGTTTCAGATATCCATGTTAAAGGGCCCCTCTGTGTTTCAGATATCCATGTTGAAGGGCCCCTCTGTGTTTCAGATATCCATGTTAAATGGCTCTGCTGTGTTTCAGATATCCATGTTAAAGGGCCCCTCTGTGTTTCAGATATCCATGTTGAAGGGCCCCTCTGTGTTTCAGATATCCATGTTAAATGGCTCCGCTGTGTTTCAGATATCCATGTTAAAGGGCCCCTCTGTGTTTCAGATATCCATGTTGAAGGGCCCCTCTGTGTTTCAGATATCCATGTTAAATGGCTCTGCTGTGTTTCAGATATCCATGTTAAAGGGCCCCTCTGTGTTTCAGATATCCATGTTAAAGGGCCTCTCTGTGTTTCAGATATCCATGTTAAAGGGCCCCGCTGTGTTTCAGATATCCATGTTAAAGGGCCTCTCTGTCTTTCAGATATCCATGTTGAAGGGCCCCTCTGTGTTTCAGATGTCTATGTTGAAAGGCTCCTCTGTGTTTCAGATATCCATGTTAAAGGGCCCTGCTGTGTTTCAGATATCCATGTTAAAGGGCCCCTCTGTGTTTCAGATATCCATGTTAAAGGGCCCGCTGTGTTTCAGATGTCTATGTTGAAAGGCTCCTTTGTGTTTCAGATGTCTATGTTAAAGGGCCCCTCTGTGTATTAGATATCCATGTTAAAGGGCCCAATTGTGTTTCAGATATCCATGTTAAACGGCTCTGCTATGTTTCAGATATCCATGTTAAAGGGCCCCATTGTGTTTCAGATATCCATGTTGAAGGGTCGCCAGTACGAGAATCCCCAGACAGCTAACATGTGTCTGATCCTCCAGGACAGAGAAGTCATCACACAGATCATCCAGAAGATGAAGTCTGGCAAAGACAAAACTGAGGTGGAAGAAGAGGACGAGCTGCTGCCGGTATGTTGGTGTTTATAGGGTAGGGCGGTCAGCATGAGTCATCGTCGTCATCATCGTCATCATCAGTCACCATTTCCACTATTCACCATGCTCATCTATAAATTATAATGGGCGGTGGAGTAGCGTTGTGGTTTTACTCCCCACATGGGTACAATGTGTGAAGCCCATTCTGGTGTTCCCCCATGTGATATTACTGAAATGTTTCTAAAAGCGGCATAAAACTAAACTCACTCACTCACTATTAATTTTAACCAGTTTGCTTACTGTAGATTTCATTTGACTGCAGCAGTCTATCATCAATCAACGAGGCGCCACCCTGACACAGAAGCTGAACAATGTGTGGATATCGCTGCAGAATCACGTCAATGTCATGGTGGATAGCAGCCTGGATAAAATGTCTAAAGACCAGATTGGCATCAAACAGGTCAATTGGGCTTTTATTACTGACCACAAGGTTTTCATTACATATCATAAGGGCATCATGTGACAAAAAAACTAGAATATCACAGACTGTATAAAACATGGCGAGTCATTTGTATCTTCCTCCCTTCAAATCATACAAAGATTCAGAGGGGGTTGCGCCCCCTCCTTATTGAAGTATACTAATCGTGTTGGTATATAAATGTGATATGGATAAATCATTTGGTGACAAGTTTTCAACAAGAATAACAATTTACTGTCAAATTCTGGAAATACGTATGCATGCATGTGTGCTTTTAAATGCACATCACGTTCCCAGTATTTTCCAGAAAACTGTACATACCTGTGTTTCCCAAACACTGAGTCTGCTGTAGGGGTAAAACGGTATACCATGGTATTAGTAGAACCGAGGTATTTGCCTTTATACCAAGAATGCAATCTAAAAAATTGTATTTTTGGTTTTCGTGCCGTTCTTCGATCGAAATAAATGACATTTTAGTTCATTCAAAATAACAAATATTATGGTTAGTTTTTTACAGTTTTTTACTTAAAAAATGTAAGGTTTGGCTCTCGTCAATTTTCTGCATTATGATCATATGTCATATACTGCACCAAAACGAACTGAACCGAAGGCCTTGTACTGCAATACGTACTGTACTGTGGGAAGAGTGACCGTTTCACTCCAAGTTTGCAGTTGTTGAAACAAGTGGGGCTCTGGAAACTATGGCTATGTAATGATTGATACTGAATCTTGTATGGTGATAATGATTATCATGATGTACTTCTTCATACACTGTAGTTGTTGGAGAAGAAGGCAGGCCTCTTCAGAAAGAACATGATGGGTAAACGTGTGAACTATGCTGCTCGGTCTGTTATCTCCCCTGATCCCTGCATCAATGTTGGTGAGATTGGTGTACCTCTAGTGTTTGCCAAGAAACTGACTTACCCCCAACCAGTGACGCCGTGGAACTTCCAGGAACTGAAGGAGATGGTTATTAACGGTCCAGATGTACATCCAGGGTTAGTGAACAAAATACTTTTACCTTAGTCCAAGGTACACTGCTCATGTTTCCCAGATCACAGGTGTAGCAATTTAATGTGCAGAGTTACTTCCCTTGTGTGTGTCAGAAACCTATGAATTGTTGGTTGTTAAGGAGCTAGCATTTGATTTGGGAGAGGTTTGGTTAAGAGATCAGCATGGTTCTCTCAGTGTTTAGGAGCTCAATTACTTTCTCCAGATTAGTTAATCAATTATTGTAATTTTTTAATTTCTTAGTGAATTAGTAAAAATATGAAAATGTATACTTTAAACATGCTTTATATCTGTCTCATTAAAGGGTTTTCCACCACATGAAATAACTCAAATACTGTTAATTTTTCCTTATCCTGACTCATGCTCTTTTGCTTGTCTTCTTCTTCTTGCGAACATAGTGGAACACTTGTATCTCCTTATTTGAAGCTCCCTTCAAAATAAAATCACTAATTGGTACTCACCACGAGTTGCTCCCCTTTGTTTCCCCTGGCGGGAAAGGTGTCGCCACCCTCTGGCCATGTGCTCCACTCTCTCCTTCTTCACCCAGTGAGCAGGATGTGAGAGCGCCTCGTGTCTCCTTACACACCATATCCTTTGATATTTTCTTAGTTTTACCTCTCTTAGGTTACTATAGAGGTATAGCTAGTATCCTTTTACTAATTTGTATTGATTATTTATCGTGATTTCTACTGTTTATTCACGTGTATTCGTGATTGTTCAGCTAGCTTTACGTTGATGAAAATCTGTACTATTTGTAGATTACGTTTTTCCGCCTCTGATCCGCATGTAATATGCCCTAGTTGTGCTACGCCCGTGTCGCGTTTGATTCACGTTGCAGTTACTGCATTAATCTATCTCATTCTGCATTTAATAAATATCATCTTTGCGTCTTAAGACGCAAGGCAGATAGGTCACGCAAAACAAGGGCAAAACATGGCAGATAGTCCAGATATTCCATCCAGTCAGCTGCTAGCGATCGACCCTCTCCAGTCTGGTGTGCTGCTAGAGACCCTGCGGTAGAGGAACGTGGGGGCGCAGTCCGTTACCTCGAAGAAACGACCGGCCTCCCCAGACATCCCGTCCATCGCAGACCAAGTCTAAGAGGGCCTCAACGCTTTCTCAACGCAGACTTAGGACCCCAGAGCAGCCGCAGACTTCCAAAGGGAAATCTCATGAAGACAGCGAACTTTCTCAGCCGAGATCGTTCCAGCAGCAGAATTGGGCCTCTACGATGATCAGCCGATAATCATCCCGACTTACGGCACAAGAAGCGACGGTGTCAGCGACTGTGACTTCTGCAGAGATCACCATGCAGCCTGATGCCTCTACACTGGCGCCGGGGCGTTATTGATGTGGACCCCATCGCAGAAGACGCCGGCGACTTCGCTGAGATCATCCCAGAAGACATGATGCGGCAAATTATGAACATCATGGAGGACCACTATAAACTGCAGAAGCAGGTCCGAGCCTTCAGCGAAGGCTCCAACGTGACAGCACCCCAGAGGCACCCCCGTCCAACGTAGCAGCCAAGACGATGTCACCTTCGAAGAAGTCCTGGACCACCTTGGACGAAGGACCTAGATGTACAGCCTTCGAAGGCCTTCGTGGGCGGACAGATCATCACCATCTTCGATTTCATCCCTAGATATGGACTCAGACCATCAGACGTCACAGAGGCCTTCGCTGAAGGTCATATCATCGATCCCGGACGGACGCGAATGAAGCTTCGAAAGGCATTCGCGAAGGACATATGATTCCAGATCTTCATCATCTAGAAGGACATCGAGGACTATAGAAGAGCTTCGCGAAGCTATCAACATTCGCCTCACAAGTCTCCGAAAATCATCCCATAGACGCATCTCCACTTCGTTCATCACCAGGTCGACAATTGCCACCGTCAGATCTCCACATAGAGCGCGACAAGTCAACTAGATCGCCACAAGCCTCATCGGACATACAGACAGCTACACGCAGTCCAAGAGCATCTACAATTCGTTAATGATGATGGTATTGAGGATGATGGAGGAATCATTTTCTCCGATGCAGAGATACGGTATTGGATGGTCAATAACCTAGATCTCTCATCACCATCTAAAAGTGGCAATACAGCGCAGACGTATTTGATGAAGGAAGACGATCCAGATGCGATCACTACCCCCGATTGACCCGATCGCGGCAGTGCCACAGAATCTAGATGCAGCTTTCCAGAAAGCTACGAAAGTTCAGACACCACATCTACCCAACTTTCATGCCAAGAAGTTCTCCACGCATAACATGGACTCTTTCTACAAAGCCCAGGACATCGATGAGAACTATAAGATCATCAGCGATGTCAAGAACAAGATTTACAAGATGGATGATCGCAAGTTGGCTCATATAGAAACCATGACGAGAGACGTATGTTCTTTGGGTTAAATAGATCTAGGACGATCAATGAGACTCTTATCACTAGATTCCGGGATTCCACGACGGAAGATGATAGAATGATTTATTCTGCCTTACTTATGCAAAAGAAAGATCAGCAGTTTTTAACGGATCATCTTACATCTGTTTCAGCAGCACTGACCTTAGCTCGTCGTCAAGGCCTCCTCGCTTCCTGCAATTGGGGGGAGAACTTTACAGCCCCACTTTATACAGCCCCGTGGTCGACAACATCCATCTTTGACGGAGGAATCGACAAAGTCGCCAAAGAAGTCTCTAAGGATTCCAGGGAAGTCCTTATGATTAAATCGATGGACACACTAGCCAGCGTCATTCGTCAGACTTCACAAAGATACTCAGGCAGATCTAAGTTCACGGGCCTACAAAGAGCAAGAGACAGGAAGATAGCCAGCTCTAGAGGTAAAGATTCTTTTCGTCGACCATATGGCAACTATAGAGGAGGATCAGGAAGAGGCAGGACACCCAGAGGTTCCCGCAACTATAGACGCTGAAACACAGGTTCGGAACGACTGGAGTCTTCCACCCCCAGCCGTTCCAGTACAGCAATGTTCCAACTACACGTATGGACTGTATACAAATGTGTTTAAACAAGAGAGGATATTCTGCCAGGGCGGCAAAAGCAGTCACGCTTGCCTTACGTTACTCAACTCGTAACTTGTACGACGACAAGTGGCACAGTTTCGAAAATTATGCAGCAAAGAAAGGTTTTACAGCGAGAGAGGCTTCACAGCCTCAAGTGGCAGACTATTTGTGTTACCTGCGCCAAAACAAACATTTAAAAGGTTCAACGATATCAACATATCTTGCCGCCATGCTTAGTTCTGTAATCACCATGAGAACGGGTGTCAAGTTGACAAGATCTCCAGAGTTACTGGCCTTACTGCGAGCATTCGATTGGAGGACCAAAAGCGGAAGTTCCACGCCTTCAGCTTGGGATCTGAATATGGTGTTACAACACCTCACGAGTGAGGTTTATGAACCTTGGAATGACAACTTTTGAATTTCTCTCACAGAAAACACTTTTTCTGCTATCTCTAGCCACGACGGCAAGAATGTCTGAAATTCAAAACTAGATTACGAGAGGATACAGTTTGATGACAATCATAACACAGCACCTCGGACTAAGATGGATTTCATCGCTAAAAATCAACTGCCAGGTCAACCAGACAGGTTATTCCACATCCCGGCGCTATCCTCTATTCTCGGATCACAAGATACACAAGACTTATCACTGTGTCCAGTAAGAGCTCAAAGTTTATTTCACGACGATCCAAAACAAGGAGAAGATTTCTCAAACGTTTATTCATCCCTTATCGCCTACAAATCAAACAGGAAGTGTCACGGACCACAATATCTATTTGGATAAGGACTGTCATTCTCCTCAGTGCCTACAAGGCAGCAGGCTTGACTCCACCAACAGCATCAAATCCACATGAGATCAGGGCATTGGCCTCCACCTATAGCCTCTTCACGCAACTGTTCCTTGAACACGATTATGGAAGGATGCTATTGGAAATCTAACATGGTATTTGCTAATCACTACCTGAGAGACATCACTACAGAAGATGTCTCTGGCATTCACCATTTCGACCACTGGTCCCTCGCCAGCAACTGACAGTTCCTCAGAGGCGCAAATATTACCCTCACAAGATTAATATGTATTATATACATACTTATCTAGCTTATAACTCTAATGGAGTTTTAGGGCTATGTATATATGTTCAACTTAACTTTATTCAGCCTGTAAGCTTATACTATGATATGTTCAGTTTCAGTGCCTCTATCAGAGTCACTTATATATATATATATATATATATATTATATGTATTATCTAATATATTAATAATGTAATTCCCCTTTAATGGCATTATGTAACCTATGGTTTTTTAATACAGCAAACATCCTAAGTCTAAGCCTTCATGAAGTTCCCGTGAGGAGATATTACAGTATAAATCACTAATTATAAAATCCAAAGTATTCTGTTACTCCCACCTCCTGTCCGTTGGATGCTACAAGCAAAAGAGCATGAGTCAGGATAAGGAAAAATATGTAATTTTTAGAGTAAAATTGATATTTTATACTTATCCTGACTCATGAGGTTAGCTCCTCCCATCCTCCCCACATAACACTTTGGATTTCCCTGTAAGTTCAAGTGTTGGGCTCAGTATATGAGGAAAATCAGGAGAGAGTGGAGCACATGGCCAGAGGGTGGCGACACCTTTCCTACCAGAGAAACAAAGGGAAGCAACTTCAATTAGGGTGAGTACCAATTAGTGATTTTATTTTGAAGGAGCTTCAAATAAGGAGATACAAGTGTTCCACTATGTTATTTTTTAAAGAAGAAGAAGACAAGCAAAAGAGCATGAATTAAGTTTAAAAACCATACTAATTAGTTTAAGAACCATACTCACTCACACACTGTTGATGACAGGGCCCTGCTTGTTGAGATGGAGAACGGCTGGAAGGTAAACTTGAACAAGGACAAGACTCACCGTGAGGCTGTCGCTAAGCAACTCCTCACCCCCAGCACCTCCGGTACCATGATGATGAAGCCCAAGATTGTGAGTGAACCTTAGGGGGTGGGGTGTCTGTATGTGGGGTGGGGCAATATGTCAGTACCCAGGTAGATCAGCCGTGGTCTGATGGAACCCAAGATTGTGAGTGAACCTTAGGGGGTGGGGTGTCTGTATGTGGGGTGGGGCAATATGTCAGTACCCAGGTAGATCTTGGGTCTGATGGAACCCAAGATTGTGAGTGAACCTTAGGGGGTGGGGTGTCTGTATGTGGGGTGGGGCAATATGTCAGTACCCAGGTAGATCAGCCATGGTCTGATGGAACCCAAGATTGTGAGTGAACCTTAGGGGTGGGGTGTCTGTATGTGGGGTGGGGCAATATGTCAGTACTCCAGGTAGATCTTGGTCTGATGGAACCCAAGATTGTGAGTGAACCTTAGGGGTGGGGTGTCTGTATGTGGGGTGGGGCAATATGTCAGTACCCAGGTAGATCAGCCCTGGTCTGATGGAACCCAAGATTGTGAGTGAACCTTACGGGGTGGGGTGTCTGTATGTGGGGTGGGGCAATATGTCAGTACTCCAGGTAGATCAGCCCTGGTAGTCTGATGGAACCCAAGATAGTGAGTGAACCTTCTTGGGGTCTGATGGAACCCAAAGATAGTGGTGGGGTGTCTGTATGTGGGGTGGGGCAATATGTCAGTACTCCAGGTAGATCAGCCCTAGTCTGATGGAACCCAAGATTGTGAGTGAACCTTACGGGTGGGGTGTCTGTATGTGGGGTGTGGGGCAATATGTCAGTACCCAAGGTAGATCTTGGTCTGATGGAACCCAAGATTGTGAGTGAACCTTAGGGGATGGGGTGTCTGTATGTGGGGTGGGGCAATATGTCAGTACCAAGGTAGATCTTGGGTCTGATGGAACCCAAGATTGTGAGTGAACCTTACGGGTGGGGTGTCTGTATGTGGGTCTTTATGGGGCAATATGTCAGTACCAGGTAGATCTTGGGTCTGATGGAACCCAAGATTGTGAGTGAACCTTAGGGGGTGGGGTGTCTGTATGTGGGTTGGGGAAATATGTCAGTACCAAGGTAGATCAGCCGTGGTCTGATGGAACCCGAGATTGTGAGTGTACCTTAGGGGATGGGGTGTCTGTATGTGGGATGGGGCAATGTGTCAGTACCAAGGTAGATCAGCCCTAGACTGATGGAACCCAAGATTGTGAATGTCAACATTTGAGGTTGGGATGTAAGTGTAAGGGTTGTGGGATTATGTCAGTACACAGGAAGAGAAACACAAGGCTGATGGACCCAGGAGAGTGAGCTCTCATTGTAGGGTGGGGAAGTCAATATTAGGGGTACAGGAATAGTATCAGCACAATTCTCAGTTTTAAGTCGTCTTTAGAAATAGTACTATGCCTTTCAAAATCTTTGTGGTAGATCATTCATTCACTTATCAATTAAATATATCACTGGTGTCGTTGCAGGTGTACAGGCATCTGAAGAATGGGGACTACATGTTGCTGAACCGTCAGCCGACACTCCATCGGCCCAGTATACAAGCCCACAGGGTACGAGGAGGATCGTGATGTACTGAAGTCTATACTGCCTCAACTACAGTGTATCACATACTGAACAGAGAGGCAGATAGACAATAATAGAATGTCCGGCAGCTCTTTTAATATTATTTTATTACTGTTATGTGTTAAGAACCCATGCTTGTCATTGTGTTTAAGAAATACACTTCGCTCTACCACCATGTATAGTGTAATAAAACACACTTTTGCCCTGAACTATTATAGTTAAAGCACGAGGACGCTTGCGTCCGAGTGCTTTAACGTTATAATAGTTCAGAAGAGAAAGTATATCGGTTAATTAACACATCGTAATTATCTTTAGAAAGTATTAAATTTGGCATCTTAGAAAAGAAATACACTTCGCCCTACCACCATGTATAGTGTAATAAAACACACTTTTGCCCTGAACTATTATAGTTAAAGCACGAGGATGCCAAATTTAATACTTTCTAAAGATAATTACGATTAATTTAAGGCAGAAAACAAACGACGGTGTCGGTGACCTAAATTAAGAATCCTCGCACAGGGCTAACTGGCGCGCTGTTCTATTGATGTGTCTGCCCCCTACGTTAAGACGAACGTTACCAGAAAAAAACAAATGATAACAGTTTGATGACGGTTTACGTTCGGATTAAATATCTTCTCTGAATTATTTTAATTACATCTGTCATTAACGTAAACCATATGGGGCAATATGAACGTTGCATTTCTACTACCAGCGTAAGTTTAGATCAGTACATCCAGAGGAAGTTGAGTAGTCAAGCGACATTCCACAATTGCATTGTGGGAATGTAAACATTACGAACGTTACCGTGTCGCTGAAAACTTGTGAGTCGAAATGACACATTTTAACCGTCGTAAAACATAAACGTAATGTTTCCACCAGTGATGTTAGCTGCGTGAAGCAACAGCAAACCAAGTTTACTGTAGGAGGCCGTACGAGGCGATGACAACTGACATGCATCGTGACGTCGCTTACATTGTGACGTAATGTAAAATGGTTCGATTACGAGGGGGCACACTAGAATGGCGCAGTGACGGGATAACGTCATTCAATTGTTACGTCATCAAAAAACTATACCTTTATTGTCTGATAATGTATTTTTTTTTCGATTGTTCTAACCGCTAGGCATCTTAGAAAGATGGATGCTCATGCTGTTGATCACTGGATTGTCTGGTCCAGACCTGATTATTTACAGACAGCCGTCATATAACTGGAATATTGCTGAGTGCAGCGTTGAACAACAAACCAACCAATTATATGTACAGACAGGTGTAAATATGTAATTATGTAATTCCTGTTTTGAAACTTGGAACAGTTAATGGGATTTTGGTGTTCAAAATATGTGACCTGACCATGTCATTGCCTCCAGACTTGATAGAGCGTTGCTCATGCTTTCAACCACTGTTTCGTTTCTCCTGACTCATTAACCAACTTACCGTGAAGATCCAGGTTAGAATTGGTCTTCGGCAACCCATGCTTGTCATAGGAGGTGACTAACGGGATCGGGTGGTCAGGCTCGCTGACTTGGTTGACACATGTCATCGTATCCTAGTTTAGATCGATGCTCATGCTGTTAATCACTGGATTATCTGGTCCAGACTCCATATACCCTGATAGTGATGCATATACAGGAGGAAACTTATTGACAGTATGGATTCCTTATATTCAGGTGCGAGTTCTTCCTGGCCAGAAAACACTCCGTCTCCACTACGCCAACTGCAAGGCATACAATGCTGACTTTGATGGAGATGAAATGAATGCTCATTTGCCTCAGAGTGAACTGGCTAGATCAGAGGCAATGGCACTGGGTATGTTACCAGTAGCATTATATGACAGTTTCCCACTCCAAGGATATATCTTTTAAATAACTGCTTTTCAGTATTTACAAATGAAAAGTGAGAAACAAATGAAATTTGATCAACGCTTTATAGCTCCCATAGCAAACCACTTGATCAGTTTAAACAAAAGTCATCTAATATCTTAAAATGCAAGACTAAAGTAATGTGCTTCACACTAACATTAATCATTTATTAGTTGGAATAATGCTGTAAGGCATTTCGAACCTTTACTCTCTGGCTCTTTGAGTGACTGATACCTTGTACAGGGATTTGCAGGACGTGAATTCCTGCGTCCTACATGCATAAAAAATGACAATGGACGCAACAAAATTTATCAGCGTGTCCACAGGGACTCAGGAAAAGTCCAAATACGTTTTTGTAAAAATTCCAATCAAGTGACAATAAGTTATCACTGAGTTACTACTAGCTGGGTTATGGTGTTATTTGCAATTTAATTACTGTAACAGTGTGATGATCATGATACACAATGCAATAACAGTATTAATACTAATATTTAAGTGTCTGGGACCCCATTTTGTAGTCCAGGACCCCTGAAAATTAAGAGTATGAGTCCCAGGCACCCTCAAATACAGGACTCCATGTAAATCCCTGCTTGTATTTGCAGCTGCAACAGACAATCAGTATCTGGTTCCCAAAGACGGCACTCCCCTGGCAGGACTCATTCAAGATCACATGGTGTCAGGAGTGTCTCTCACAGTCAGGGGCAGATTCTTTGACAAGTAGGCAGAGTTAATCTACTGACAAACGTGTCTCCTGTGTACCAGAGAGCTTTGAATGCATCTGACCAAACTGAAACCTAGGGCCTGGCATATGTAGAACTGAAATATTGTTGTGAGCTGTAATCATGTTTCAAGTTCACTTGCTTACTTTTTGTAGACTTGCCCCATCATTTCAGTAAGCATTCTCTTCCCACAGAGGTTACTCAAGTCACATCTCCCCACCATAACCTCTGGTCTTGTGTGTCACATTAATGTAAGTCATCGGCAGAGGACTGATATTTGTGGCCCCACTTTCTATTGCTAGTTTCTGATTTTCAGTTAAACATGAAATACTGAATCTATCCTTCCCTTTTTGATCAACTAACTCGATGGCGGCCGCCATATTGTATCTAAGTCGATGTAACACGTGTTCTGATTGGATAGAAGGAAGGGAGATAATTCTAGTTGCGATATTTTTGCTGCCAGGGATTTTACGAGAACCAGGAAATATGGCCGTATTAGAACAGAGGTTACGTGGGATGATATGACTTGAGTAACCTCTGTGGGAAGAGAATGTTCAATAAGTTGACCTTTCATGTTTTTTCCTGTGGTAAATTGTTGTGTATTGTGCTTTTGGTGTCCTAAAAGAGGGCCAAAACTTTCATAGTGGATCTGGATGCTTTGTTAAAGTGGTTGATTTTGGGAGACCTGAAGTGTTTTGACTCCTGGATTCTTGTCTACCCTCAAAATCATAATGATAAATTCAGGTCTCGTAATCTGGCGTGACACTAGAATGAAAGATCAGTGAAGATCCGGGTTAGAATTGGTCTTTAGTAACCCATGCTTGTCATAAGAGACGACTAACAGGATCGGGTGGTCAGGCTCGCTGACTTCGTTGACACGTATTCATATCCCAATTGCATTGATCAGTGCCCATGATGTTGATCACTGGATTGTCTGGTCCAGACTTGATTATATACAGACCTCTGCCATATAGCTGCGCTATACGCTATTGACAAAGAGTCCATATTGCAATGATAATATGAATAGACTTGATTATATAGAGACCTCCACCATATAGCTGAAATATTGCTGAGTGCAGCGTTAAACAACCAACCAACCAAACCAACCAACTCAAATGAAAATCTTCTGGGTTGAGATTTCACAGGACATTGACTAATGTGGCCTTCATTTCATCTGATATCATTGTAGGGACCCTTTGATCGCAATCCTTTGGCATATAAAGACGTTCTACAAGAATCATTTCCATATGACCATGTAAACAGCCAGTGGCGTCTCTCAGTCATGGTGTGTAATGCACTTATTATCCCCCACTTCGCACTTATTAGGCTCCGTCCGTACATATGTACGAATTGGAATATCTTAACAACCGTTGACTAGATTCTTTTCATACTTGGTACCTAGCTTCATCACAGTATGCAAAAGGTCCCAGTTAGATTAGGTGACCTTGACCTTCATTTCAAGGTCACAAGGGAACTTATACCTTTTACCCTTGTCAGCGAGATATCTCAAGAACCGTTCGATTTACCCGAACTCGTTAAGAGGTACCAGCTGGGGGATGATTCTCTGTTCTTTGTGCCGGTGGTTGACGAGTGCGTGTTCACTTCGGTCGCCCTCGGGGGAGGCTCGGCTTCCTCAGGTGCAGCCCTGGCTGCTAAGCAAGGGCGGTTAGTTCCACCGATTGCCCTAGCGTTGCCCCCCTGCAGCAGGCATACCGGACTTACGAGGAAGTCTACCAGAATGCCATGCAGCAGGTGCGGGTGGTGGTCCACGAAGCCTACCTTTCCTCTATCCAAACTTGGCTCTGGAGGAAGAAGGGCCCACCTGACGCTAGACTCTTTGCGATCTGCCACGTCTACGGTGATGTGCACAGTCATGGGGATGCGCAAGCCGTGGCTGTCTACCTCCCGTTATTCGGCAGCGACACAGCAGACCTTGCTGGCCCTTCCGTTTCGGCTGGGAGCGATGTTGTTTCTGGGGGCACAGCAGGTCATTCAGGAGGCTTCTGCAGCAGCTTCTTCCTTCAAGGACTCTAAGGCCTTGTTGGAGCAACCGCGGGTTTCTCGCTCCCGTAGCGGGTTCCTCCTCTGGGGTGCGCAGCCTACGCCCGAGTCTGCCGGCTGGCTTCGGCCGCTGGGCAGGGGAAGGAGGAGGAGCCGTCCCGCCAAAGGTAAGGGCAAGGAGCAGTCCTCTTCGCCTGGCTCCCAGCAGCATTTTCGCGGTCCCGGGGGGTCTGCCCCGACCTCCCGTTAAACCAGCAGGCTGTCTCCGTGGGTCCGTCCCAGTCAGTTCAACTGCAGGGGACCACTCACGCCCTCTTACCACACGTCCCAGTGGGGGCCGCCTCTCTCTATTCCTGCCGGAGTGGGCGAAGGCTACCAGCAACACTTGGGTGCTATCCACTGTCAGTGTCAGCCATCTACCACTGTGGAAGCGAGGCCCGCCAGAGTTCACCGGCATACGTCGCACTCCGGTGCCGTCATGTCCGGTCAAGGCAGATATATGGCGAGACAAAGTTCAGGCGAGACGAAGTTCCACGTACTTCCTCGTTCCGAAGAAGGATGGCGGGTTCCGTCCCATTCTCAACCTCAAGGGTTTGAATCGCATGCTAGAGGTTCAATCCTTCAAGATGGAGACACTTCGCTCAGTGATCTCCTCTGTTCAGCCCAGCGATTGGCTTACGTCGATAGACCTAAAGGATGTGTATCTACATGTGCCAATTCATCCATCGTTCAAGCAGTACCTCCGTTTCTCTTGCGACGGGATGTATTACCAATTCACGGTGCTCCCCTTCGGCATATCCACTGCCCCCAGGGTGTTCACCAAGCTCATGTTAGTGCCGGCTACCCTCGCAAGGAAGGCGTTGTTACCCTTACCTCGACGACTGGTTGCTTAGCGCTCTAACTCAGCCAGCGAGCCTAGATTCTACCCACACGGTGATAGACATTCTAATTCGACTGGGGTGGATCATAAACCTCAAGAAATCCGACCTGGTACCCACCCAGGACTTGGTTTTTCTCAGGGCGAGGTCAAAACTAAGAGCTGTGCGGTTGGTTTTCGAACGCTTCCGAGAGCATTTTCGGGGCCAGGTGGTTCGTCTTCAGTTGGACAACTGTACGGCCATGACATACATCCTGAAGCAAGGCGACGGTGTCCCTAGCGCTCCTTCGGGAGACGTGGGAATTTCTCATCTGGTGCGACCAGTGCGACTGTCAGGTGCTTCCTGTTTATCTCCCGGGGCTGGAGAATGCGCGAGCAGACGCTCTCTCTCGCCGGATCCTGGCCCCGCACGAGTGGATGCTCGACCGGCAGATATCTCCCAGTTGTATGGATCGTTCCAGGTGGATCTGTTTGCGTCCGGCGGTACGAATCAGATACCCGTGTTCTGCTCTCGAATACCGGACCAGAGGGCGTTGGCTTCCGACGCCTTCCTGCTGGATTGGACGGGCAAGGTGCTGTGGGCGTTCTCGCCTCTACCACTCATTCCCCGGGTCTTCTCCCAGCTGTCCACCCAGCCAGCTCGGCTACTTGTGCTGCTGGCACCACTATGGCCGTCACAGAGCTGGTTTCTGGTAATTCTCAGGTTTCTGGCTCAGCCTCCTGTTCTATTACCTTTGCGACCGGACATTCTGACTCAGAATGGCAGTGGGTGGCTTGGCCTCTGTCAGGTCTAGCCTCGAAGCATGCGGAATTCCTGCAGCAGTTGCAGACACAATTCTGGCTTCTAGGCAGGATTCGACAAACGTTCAATATGACGATAGGTGGTCCCGCTATGAGCGCTAGTGTTCAGATAGGGGGATTGCTGATCCCTTTTCTGCGGATTTAGTCCGAGTATGGGAGTTTTTGCAAGCTCGTTTGGAAGAAGGCTTGGCGGCTTCGACCATTCGTGGCTACTCCACCACTATTTCCATTTTCCACACCCCTGTCGATGGTGCACTTCTGGGGCAGCACCCTCTTATGCAGCGCTTTTTAGCTGGCGTGGATCGGGTTCGACCTGCTGTCAGGCGCACCAGCCCACCTTGGGATTTGTCAATCGTGCTAGATTGGCTGTCCGGTCCTACGTTCTCACGTCTATGGCTATTTCCATTGAGCTGTTGGAAGGCCGTATTTCTGGTGGCGGTAACATCTGGGCGAAGGGTCGGCGACTTACATGCTATATCGGCAGACCCGGCGCTGACTGTGTTCCATCCAGATCGTGTCAGTCTTCGCCTCCCCGGATACTTACTGTCCGAAGATCGATCACGCTTTCCATGTGACAGCTCCTATTGAACTTCCCACTCTTACCCAGCCTTCCACATCGGGGACCTCTGCAACGAGCACTCACCTGTTGGATGTCCGTAAGACTCTCAAGGTCTATATCAAACGAACACAAGGGATCCGTACGGGTACCCATCTGTTCTGCTGTTACGGTGGCGGGAAGGCTGGTATGCCGGCTTGCAAACAGACCCTATCACGCAGGCTTGTATCGGTCATTTGTGCTGCTTATCAGGCTAAGGGCAAACCTCCCCCTGAGGGGTTGAAGGCTCACTCGGTCAGGGCAGTGGCCACGTCAAAGGCTTTTGCATCGGCACTGCCCATTGAAGAGATCTGCTCTGCCTAGCACTTTTATCAGGCACTATCAGCTCGATACACGTTCACGTGATCGTGCGCGTTTTGGCAGTTCTGTTCTCTCCAGTGGACAGTGTCCTGCCACCCTGACCGAGTGAGACTTGGTTATCTCGACAGTTGACGCTGCTTTCAATTGTGTATCATTGATATATCCGCTGTTATCATATTTAACTCCTTTCGATTCTCTCAGGAGATTATGGTCGGTTGTGAGTTAGGTTTCCCCCTTACGGTGCTCTTATAATAGATTCACGATGTGGGCGGGTTTTTTTTCACTTTCACACTGTGTGCGAATTGCCTTGCTTAACCTATGAGGTCGGATCTTAGTAATTTCCTCCCTGTCGGTTACCCTCCCATCATGCCTCTCGCGGAAGCTTCGGGACACGTGACAGGTGAGTGTTGTGGCGTCTGTTACATTCTTCCTAACGATCGTTATTTATGTGTACTTTGACAGAATTCCCTCCTCCCTAGCCTCCGGTCTTTGGGAGTCTGAGTTAATGCATATATGTACCCAAAGGACGATCTTTATGAAAAATAATTGCCTAAAGCTGTAGTGGTTTCCAATTCTTTGAAGAGAATCGTCCTTGGGGTAGGGCCACCCACCTCCCCACAATTCTGTTCACTGATTCATTCAGCAGAAGGAATGATGATACGGGCCTAGGTGCTTACCTGGTTGACTGCGCATGCGTAGCAGGGAGGTAACTCCATGTGGTGGGGGCCGTATAATAGATAAAAAAGACTTTATTTATTGTACAATATTTTTATTAAAACATTGATACAACTGTCACATGACATTTTCAGCCGCCGAAAATGCATATATGTACCCCAAGGATGATTCTCTTCAAAGAATTGGAAACCTCTACAGGTTTAGCTAAATTTGAGGCGGGGGATTATGTCACCTCAGTGACAACTGCTTGTTCTATGCCAGGTTGTGGATAGCATTAATGGTGGCGTTGGTTGGTCAAGCAGAGTAGGGTATCATCTTCCAAATTCTCTCAACGAACTTCATTCACCCAAAATTTAACAACATGCAGCCTTTCATCAATATTGTTGGGGAATTGATCCTCTAGGGTAAAACATTTCATGACTGCGCTCTACTCTATTGACAAAGAGTCCATATTGCCATGATTATAGTTATAGGAATCTTGTTTTCATTCTCTGCAGGGCGGACTACTTTCAGCTCCTGTTTTCTTCACTCACAAATGTTCCTGGGCGCGTAAAAAGCCTTCCTCCAGCCATTGTAAAACCATACCCAATGTGGTCGGGAAAACAGGTGAGATTGGTTGTAATTACAATATTGTGAAACTACAGGCAGGGTTTCCATGAAAGAGGCTGATGTTAGTGGTAGGGGTACGGATATCATTGAAATAAGTTTTATTAGTACTGGGAGTGAGTGACTGATCGAGTACAGTTTTATGCTGCATTTCGCAATCTTCCAGCAATATCGCAGCATTGGACACCAGAAATGGGCTTCACGCATTGTACCTGTGGTGAGTTGAGCCTGGTCTTCGGTGAGATGAGCTAATGGTTTATCCACCAGGCTACCCCACCGCCCCTGAAGTGTGGGAGGCAGAACAGTCATAGCACCATAATCACTTTGTGAAACGGGGCCCTGTGGTATGATGTGAATATTTCTGTTTGTGGAGTACCATTCCTCTCTCTTCTTGTTCTTCAGTTGTTATCATCTGTCCTCCTGAATGTCATCCCACCTCACAGAAAGCCCCTCAACCTGGAGGGCAAGTCGAAAATACCAGAAAAGGTACGCGAAAGAACTTTCCTGACATGTCTGTCATTTGTGATTAACAATTTGTTGCTTTTTAACCATTTCAATGAAGAGGTCCCAAATACCTGAGTGTTGACGATGTTCTCATCAAACCACACCTGTGAAGATCTGGGTTAGAATTGGTCTTCAACAACCCATGCTTGTCGTAAGAGGCACTAATGGGATCGGGTGGTCAGGCTTGCTGACTAGGTTGACACATGTCATTTGTATCCTAAATGTGTACATCAATGCTTATGATGTTGATCACTGAATTGTCTGGTCCCAAGATTATTTATAGGCCACCGCCATGAAGCTGGAATATTGCTGAATGCATCGATAAACAACAAACAAACAAACATCAAACCAGAGGTGTGGACATCACGCTTATGTTGTCTTTGTGATAATCTTATCAGATTTCTGAATTAAAAATTCAAGTCATGGGGCTTTTGTTATATATCCATTGTTGAGCACCAGGAATCCAATACAGCAAACTTGAAGTACCCCAGAACTCGCCATTAATAGTTGATTTCTGAAAAACCATTCGGTTACCATAAAATATTTGCCTGTAATGTTAATACTTCATCACTATATTTCCTGCAGAACTGGTCTTCAAGTGGACTGAACAAGCTGGACAACATGGGGAAGGGGACAGTGGTCTTCCGAGATGGGGAGCTGTTGCAGGGCGTCCTGGACAAGGCCCACTATGGCCCTACTAGTTACGGCATGGTCCACTGCTGCTATGAGGTATGCATAATCAGGCCACGTTGTCAGCAATAAGAAGTAGGCCAAATGTACACCAGTTTTAACTCTTTGTCCTGACTTATGAGGTCATGCTATATCTGATCTTTGGTGATGAAAACTGTGATCAAAGGATCATGTGTATTGTGTGGTCAGACTTATTGATTTGGTTGATAGCATGTTACTGCATTCTGACTGTTGTGTCTTCAACAATCCATGCTTGTTGTAAAAGGCTACTAGCAGGATCAGGAGGTTGATACGTGTCAATGTATCCCGGCTAAGTTGATCAATGCTCATGATGTTGATCACTGGATTCCTGTTCCAGACTCAACTATTTACAGACTGATGCCATATTGCTGGAATATTGCCGAGTGCAGCGTTATACAACAAGCACAAAAATACCTGACATATGTTTAGTTATCATGATATTAATCACCAGTTTGTCTGATCTTGGCTTTATATGATGTTATTATATGGCTGGAATTTTGCTGGGAGCAGCACAGGTCAACAAACAAACCTGTTGTTTTGATGTATCAAACTTGTGCGTCAAATTGTCAGATGAGTGGGGTCACGCCGATGACACGGGTTCGATTCACCACATGGGTACAATGTGTGAAGCCCATTTCTTGTATCCTCCGCCGCGATATTGATGGAATATTGCTAAAAGCGGTGTAAAACTACACTCGCTCAGATGAGTGTGTCAGGTGTAGTGCTGGGAATTGGTTAAAATCTAATAATTGATGATTGGTCCATTACAACCGATCAATCATCGAAAATAATTGGTTAGTGTCATTTATCAAATGTTCCTGTTATTTTTGTTAATGCACAAAAAATAAAGAAAAACATGTAGTAATTTGTTGTTTTTTTCAAATTGCATAAAGTCCATTTGCAAATTTTGCATATTTAAATGATGATTAGTATGTTAGGAACACATATTTCCTGGATTCTTTAAGATAAATTCAATCATGACTTGGAACGAGCTTGTACATGTAGTGCTTATGAAATGTAAATTTAATGACACAGACAAAACCAGCCTTGTGAAACATATTGTTAATGCAAACAAGTGTTCCAAGATTGGTGGTGTTCGATTATGAGAAAACATGTTCGATTGCTTGGTCGTTTAGTCACTGCCACCAATCTTAGATTATTTCAATTAATCGGACTACCACTAGTCAGGTGAGATCGTGAAGAGTCAGTGTAAGTCAATGAACATTGTTTGTTGCAGCTGTACGGAGGCCAAGTGGCGGGGAAGCTGCTGAGCTGTCTGGGGAAGCTGTTTCGGGTGTTCCTGCAGCAGCGAGGCTTCACACTGGGAGTGGAGGACATCCTCGTCAAACCAGAGGTGAGAACATGATACATCTGTTCTTTTCATGGCTATCAATGTTGTGTTTGAAATTAAGCCAAGAGTATTTGTCATGGCTAAAGGAAAATACAAGGATTCTGATACCAGAGGAACCTGGACACCCCTTATATTGGAACTTTGAGTGTACAAGTGCTTGTTTTTAATTGACTGTTTTGATTGTATGTCATGCCCGAATGGCTAAGACGGCTGCTCAATTATTTTTATATGTACTCCTTTAAGTATGTATGTTGTTTCCATTTTCTCCTGCTGATAGGAACTTAATGTAGCAGAAGTCAATTTAACACTGGAATATATCATCTCTGTTATTCAGGCATCATCTGTCTGAAACATCTTACCGTTAGACCAATGACCCTGAAACTTAAATGCTATACTATTGCTACCAATCATGACACTCAAATTTGTTCTTAGAGGTTTATATCAGATTTTAAAGAGAACCACCACAGCAGCCATATTGAGAAATCTATTTTGTCGTGTCGTGTGTGAGACCCATGAAGGCGATTCCTGGTTAGATTTGGTCCACTGTATCCAATGCTTGTCATTTGAGGAGACTTAATGAAATTGGTGGTAAGGGATGCAGCATAGTTATTTTTGGGATTACACTTTCTTCGTAAAGTACAGATTCTAGTAGTTTTGTTGGGTTGAAACCCATCCAGGATTTGAACCCACAACCTTAGCGTCACACACCTAATCGCCAGCAAACAAAGTCATACGCCTAACCCGCTCAATCACCGGGCTTTATCAGGAATGGTTTCTAGGTAATGGCGTGTCATCATACCCCATGTCTTGGACCTTTGCTCATAATATAGATCACTGGTTTGTGTGACCAAAACAATAATTGTACAGGCTATGTTAATCACGCAGGTTTATATGTTCCTGCTCTTTGTCTTCTCACCATGACCTAATTACATACATCTTCGACACCCGTGGACATCCGGGTTAGAATTGGTCTTCAGTAACCATGCTTGTCACAAGAGGCGACTAACGGGATTGGGTGGTCGGACTCGCTGACTTGGCTGACACATGCCATTGTATCCCAACTGTGTAGATCGATGATCATGCTGTTAATCAATGGATTGTCTAGTCCAGACTCGATTATATGCAGACCGCCGCGAGATAGCTGGAATATTGCTGAGTACGGCGTTAAGCACCAATCAATCAGTTGATCAACATGCATCCTCGGAACTGCTTCTGGTTCCTGTATTGAAATGGACTGTTAACCAGGCTGAGTCAGAATAATTTGTGGAACTAAATAGTTAACAATAAAAGTGCAATATTAGAAAGAGTGATGTTAAACAACCTATGCAAATATATATCTGCAATCCCCTAGGCTGATAAGAGACGAGAGAAGATAATCAAGAAGTCTCCAGCATGTGGCAGGGAGGCTGTCATCAGGGCCCTCAACCTGGATGAGGACATCTCAGACAAGGCCCTGAATGACAGTATGAAAGATGCACATTTTGAGTTGGATGATCGTGGCCTACAGGAGCAGGACTTGGCCACTAAGATACAGACTGATCGTGTGCAGAATGATATTGTAAGGTAGGAATGAATGAATGGAGGAAGGAAGGAAGGAATGAACGAACAAATTAACGAAAGAGCGAGCGAATGTGATGAGGGTTGAATTGACTAAACACATGTTATTTGTTTGGAGACAAAATACCTTTGCATAAAAAAGCTATTTTTTAAATGATCTGAGGCCATAATTTCAATGCAGAGGGGCCCAAAATGGGTTTTATCAGTTCCCACGAAAAATAACAAGGACTGAAGTATCAGTGTGCTATAATGACTTATTTACAACTGTCATTTTATTAATATACAAATAACATCAGTTTTACAACAGGTATTCATGATGAAAAAAAATGTCAATATCAATCTCAAGGCTTCATCTTCAAGGGGCCCAATTTGGGTTGCAATACATTGTGGACTTCAATTAATTCACATATTTACCAATTGTTTACCTAAAACTCATTATTCAAAACTTTCTTTGCAAATATGAACTATAGGTTAATTTTACAACATGTACTTATGATAACCAATTATGTCGCACTAAAAATCACAGGGGCCCGTTTTGGGTCAAATTTTGGGCACAGCTTGATTTTAACACGAAGTCAGTATTCACAACCAGTTTTAGTAAATATACAGTAAACATATCATTCAGAATATGTTATCACAATAACCAATCATGTTGCACCGAAAGTCACAAGTCTTGACCTCAAAGGGGCCCATTTCAGGTGAAATTACATTCTTGGCACAGCTTGAATTGAACACCATGTAAGAGTTAAAAGTCAGTATATACAACCAGGTTTTATGCATTTTATGAAGATTACACACACAAAAGTTGGTTGAAGGTAGGTTAATAAGTTACAAAATCTTAAAAATGATAGTATGTTCAACAGAGAAGCATTTTTAATTTTGTTTTATTTTGATTTTGTAAATTGAAGATAGTCTCTACTGAAGCTATCATCTCATTTATAGAAAATATATGGATGAAATCTAAATGTAAAAAGAAGGTCTGGATTATTTACACATTGCTCGCTCACTTTGGAAGTAGGACTTACACAGGTAGCTCATCTGGTCTTCCAGGATATACATCCTCCATACTGTAGTGTTTGATGCAGGACTGCTTGTGTGTGTTTAGGGCCTGTATTCCACAAGGTCTCCACAAGGCGTTCCCGGACAACAACCTGCAGCTGATGGTGGAGGCTGGAGCCAAGGGATCCACGGTAGGCGGCTGCCAGCGTTGTTTCAGTTACCATGGTTATGGATCTGCTCACAAAATGTTGTAAATGAGGAGTAATTTAATTTTAATTGTTTTGCAATTATTGTCAGTAATGTAAGCTCCATAGTAGGTCCTTTAGCAGTATTTCAGCAATATCATGGTATTTGACACCAGAAGTTGGCTTTACACATTGTTCTCATGTAGGGAATCGAGCCTGGGTCTTCGGTGTGATGAGTGAACATTTTGACCACTAAGTACCCCACAACGTCCAGGGAAAGTAGCCATTTGACTTGGATCTTCATTTATTTCTTGGTTTATTCCACCGTCTTTACCAGATGGTTAAGTCTTTAGTTCCTGATCCATGTTTGTCACTAATATGATCTCTTTGCCTTGAAGGTGAACTGCATGCAGATCTCATGTCTGCTTGGGCAGATTGAGCTTGAAGGTCGGCGACCCCCTTTGATGATCAGTGGGAGGTCATTGCCATCCTTCCTGCCGTACGATACTGCACCTCGGGCAGGGGGTTTCGTGGCTGGGAGGTTCTTGACTGGCATCAAAGCCCCGGAGTACTTCTTCCATTGTATGGCAGGGAGAGAGGTGAGTGCACAGGGGACTTTGTAAGTGGGAGGTTCTTGACAGGCAGGCGGTGAGGTTCTTAATGGGCATCTATGACCTGGAGTACTTCTTTCAGGGAAGGAGGTGAAAAGGCAGGGTCTGTGTGGCTGGGAGGTTCTTGATGAGCATGAGTGCCCAGAAATACTTCTTTAATGGAGGGAGGTCAGTGAACAAAGAAGTGCGGGAGGAAGCCAGGGGGACACTTAACATGTAGTGATCAAACATTTTAGTAGGATTAAATCAATCTGTAAAACATTGAATGTCTTTTACAGTTTGTTCATGCTCATACTGTACTCATTTTATATGTCACCTTAGTATACAGTTGTATCATTGTATATCAATACAATACTTTGATATGATACTTGTGTTATGGCAGTATGGCAATGCATTGAATGTTTTGTAATGATTACATTGTTATTTGAGAGATGAGATTAAACAGTAAATATAGGTGAAGTGTCTGGTAACCATGGTAACTGATTTGTTCCAGGGTTTGGTTGACACAGCTGTGAAGACAAGTCGTAGTGGCTACCTGCAGAGGTGCATCATCAAACATCTGGAGGGGGTGCAAGTGGCGTACGACATGACGGTCAGGGACAGCGATAACAGTGTTGTACAGGTACACATCTTGTGATCACAGTTGGAAATCCACTAAAACATTGTTGAACTAACATTATATGACACTGGATAATCTGGTTGACACGTGATTATTTCCAGATAATTTATGGCAAGGCAGGGGTTCTTTTTGTTTGGTAAAATATCTCTTTCACATTTCATCTGTGAATGGCAAGATTGCAAGAATTTTCGTGGAAGTGATATCTTTGTTTGTGCTAAGTATTGTTTTTGTTTTTCCAGTTCTGTTATGGGGAGGATGGTTTGGAGGCGACGAAGACGCCATTTTTGTCTCCAAAGCAGTTTCCTTTCCTTCTCTTGAACAGACACGCACATGATGAGATAGAAGTAGAGGATAATAAGATAAAGAAGAAAATACGGAAACTTAACAAGAAGGTGCGTAGCTGACACTATATGAGGATGTGTGACCTGGTTTTACCGTGTGTCGTCATGCTATCAAACACTGTTTTCCTCAAGGATACTTGTATATACAGGCAGCTGTAGGACATCGAAAGTGATAATGTACAGATGTTGCATGTATATATTTGTTAATCTGGGAACAAAGGTGTCGTTTGCTATAAAATTGGTGTGATAAAACAGCAATGAACAATTATAACTTCTTTAGGCCAGACCAATATTATTTCTTGTTTTACGGATTTTTGTCCTCAGAAAACCTAAAGGCAGGAGGGAATAAAATAAAATCACCATCAAAGTAATATTCCTTCTAAATATTAAAATTATTTAACTTCTGGCAATTTATGAAGTGTGAAAAGGGGCCAAAAACAATATATAAAAAATTTCTTGTAAGTGTACATTTTTGGCTAATAAAAATATAAGGGTTTTATGTTTTGAGCAGGGAAAATTAAAAAAAAATAATACCAGTGGATCCGTAAAACAAGAAATAAGATTGGTCTGGCCTTATTTAGGATTGTATACAGAATTTGTACTGTTGCCAAGATAAAAGTAGTATAAACCAGTTAGTATGCTGTTGTAGTTGGTTGTGGAATCATCCCACAAATAAATCCTTACTATGTCAGTTGCTCATTGTCTGCAGCCCACTGGACTGGGTATCTAACCTGGAATCAGGCTGTTCTTCTAATCCCATCATGGAACTCACAAATGGTATCACCACTATGTTAGATTACACGTAGTGGAAGCAGTATGTTTTTCTGAATGGCTCAGGGTTCTGTCACAGATCAAATCATGGAAGCGGGAACATGGTGGAGAGCAGAAAGGGCGCAGCTCTGGCTTCCTGCACTTCTGCAGCGAGGTGATGGAAGATTTGGTGGAACCATCAGACCTGAAGACAGTCAACAGCTTAGGCCGGACAATGGCTGCTGTGAAGCTGGAGGCAGCATGGCGGGAACTGGATGAGGACACGAGAGACCTGTGAGTCAATCTTTATCTCAGGGTTTCAGTAGGGGCTGAGAGAGCAGTATGTCAGTGTTTATCACACGGTTTCTTAGGTGCTGGAATTCAACGTACAGTTGCTTTCTTGAGCTGGAATACTTTGATCATGTGACTCTAACATTGACCCTAATTATTATACCCCTTATCTAATAAGGTGGGGGTATGTAGTTACCAAGGAAACATTAAACTAAGGAATTCTGTCCATCCATCCATCCATCCATCAACCCATCCATCCATCCATCAATCCATCCATCCCTCCATCAACCCATCCATCCATCCATCCATCCATCCATCCATCCATCCTTCCATCATCCATCCATCCATCCATCCTATCCATCCATCCATCAATCCAACCTCCATCCATCAACCCATCCATCCTTCCTATCCATCAACTCCTTCCATCCATTACATCCATCCTTCTTCCATCCACCCATTCATCATCTTCCATCAATCAACCCATTCAACATCTTCCATCCATCCATCAATCCATCCTTCATCATCAACCCTCCATCCATCCATCAACCATCCATCCATTTCCATCCATCCTTCTTATCATCCAACCCCATCAATCCCATCCATCTCAACCATCCATCCATCCATCCTTCTTACATCAACCCATCCATCCTTCTTACATCAACCCTTCCATCTTTACATCCATCCTTCTTCCATCAACCCATCCATCTTTCCATTCATCCCATCATCCATCATCAATCCTTCCATCTTTCCATCCATCCATCCATCCATCAACCCTCCTTTCATCCATCCTTCTTACATCAACCCTTCCATCTTTACATCCATCCTTCTTACATCAACCCATCCATCCTTCTTACATCCCCTCCATCTTTACAGCCATCCTCTTCCATCAACCCATCCATCCTTCAAATCCATCAATCCATCCATCCTTCTTACATCAACCCTTCCATCTTTACAGCCATCCTTCTTCCATCAACCCATCCATCCTTCTTACATCAACCCTTCCATCTTTACAGCCATCCTTCTAACATCAACCCTTCCATCTTTTTCCCATCCATCCATCAACCTTCCATCTTTCCAGCCATCCTCCCCTTCCATCAATCCATCCATCCTTCCATCCATCCATCCATCCATCCATCTTTCATCCCATCCATCCATTCTTCCATCAACCCATCCATCTTCATCAATCCCATCCATCCTTCTTACATCAACCCTTCCATCTTTCCCATCCATCCTTCATCCATCAACCCATCCATCCATCATCCATCATCCTTCTTCCATCATCCCTTCCATCCATCTTTACATCCATCCTTCTTACATCAACCCATCCATCCTTCTTACATCAACCCTTCCATCTTTACAGCCATCCTTCTTACATCAACCCATCCATCCTTCTTACATCAACCCTTCCATCTTTACAGCCATCCTTCTTACATCAACCCTTCCATCCATCATCCATCCTTCTTCCATCAACCCATCCATCCATTTACATCCATCCTTCCATCCATACATCCATCCTTCTTCCATCAACCCATCCATCCATCTTCCATCCATCATCCATCCATCCACCCAGCCATCCTTCTTACATCAACCCATCCATCCCATCCATCCATCAACCCAACCATCCATCCATCCTTCTTACATCAACCCAATCTTTATCATCCATCCATCAATCCATCAACCCATCCTTCCATCTTTACCCAACCATCCATCCATCCATCATCCATCCTTCCAACCCTTCCATCTTTACAGCCATCCATCCATCCACCCCTTCCATCCATCATCCATCCATCTTAAGCATCCCATCCATCCATCACATCAACCCTTCCATCCATACATCCATCCATCCACATCAACCCATCCATCCATCCATCCTTCCACCATCAACCCTTCCATCTTTCCATCCATCCATCAACATCAACTCCATCCATCAACTTACATCAACCTTCCATCCATCCATCCATCAACCCTTCCATCCATCAACCTTTCCATCTTACATCAACCCATCCATCCTTCCATCCATCCATTCATTCATTCATCAACCCATCCATTTATCAACATCAACCCATCCATCTAACCGTCCATCCAACCATCCATCCATCATCCATCAACCCATCCATCCATCAACCCATCCATCCATCAACCCATCCATCCATCATCCATCAACCGATCCATCCATCCATCAAACCATCCATCCATGATCAATCGACCCATCCATCCATCAACCCATCCATCCAACCATCCATCCATCATCCATCCATCCATCCAACCATCCATCCATTCATCCATCAACCCATCCATCCAACCATCCATCCATCCATCCATCCATCAACCCATCCATCCATCCATCCATCAATCCATCATCCATCCATCAACCCATCCATCAACACATCCATCAACCCATCCACCCATCCGTCCGTCCATCCGTCCGTCCATCCATCATCCATCCATCCATCCATCAACCCATCCATCCATTCATCCATCAACCCATCCATCCATCCATCATCCATCTATCTGTCTTTATAAAGACATTTTTGCTCAACCGCAAATTAGAACTCAGAAAAATTTGTTCAAGCAATAACTTGAAAACTTTTGTTTGGATTGTTTTCAAATTTGTGGACCACCCACTTGTCTAAGGGAGATGTGCAGTGAAAGTTTTGTGACATGGTATCAGTTAACACTTTAAAAGTGGCACTAGGCGTGACTGTGACAAGTACACATGCATGCATGTAAGCAAACACACACACTCACGCGTATGACACAGACATACATTGCTGTTGAAACTCCCTTTATCCTCAACTTAATGTGTGACACATGCTGGTTGTGCTGGCATCTACATGAGTGTTGACTGTGTGCAGGTACGGTCAGCGAATCAGCAGGTGCCCTTCCCCAGTGATGTCCAAGTACCAGCCTCTCCTCCACCCCAGTGTCATGTCGGAGAAACTTCAGGAGGCCGTGAACACCTTCTGTGATAACCAGCTGGACCAGGTTGGTTCATTTGGATTACTTTGTGGGGATACACTGGGGGGATAGTTCTAAGGGGAGAATTTGGATATAAGAGAATTTATAGAGGTAAGTGAAAAGTAATAGGTTCAGATATTTCAAAGTAAATTGAGCATTGTAAGGGGAGGTGTGGTTGTGGAGGGGACATTTCAAAGGGAGGGGTGGTTGTGAAGGGGACATTTGAAGGGGAGGGGTGGTTGTGAAGGGGACATTTGAAGGGAAGGGGTGGTTGTGAAGGGGACATTTGAAGGGGAGGGTGGTTGTGAAGGGGACATTTGACGAGGAAGCACGGTTGTGGAGGGGCCATTAGAAGGGAAGGGGTGGTTGTGAAGGGGACATTTGAAAGGGGAGAGGTGGTTGTGGAGGGACATTTGATGAGGAAGTGTGGTTGTGGAGGGGACATTTGAAAGGAAGGGTGGTTGTGAAGGGGACATTTGAAAGGAGAGAGGTGGTTGTGTAGGGACATTTGACGTGGAGGGACATTTGGAGGGTGCGTGGTTGTGAAGGGGACATTTGAAGGGAAGGGGTGGTTGTGAAATGAAGGGGAGTGTCGTAAACATTTGACATCTGAAGAGCTGTGAAGAGGTATATTTTGGGGGACGTCTATTTGGACATTGGATAGAAGACAAAGTTAGCAGCCTAACTGTAAGGTAAGGGAACTGAATCGGGTGTATCCTGTCCCCCATGTATCCAGTTCTTCAGTCTGGTCATTGCATTACAGGTAAATCAGTCCATCCCAGGTGCTGGGGATGTAACTGCCAAGTCTTTCCAGAAGTTATTCAACCAGAAAGTCCTCCGAGCCTATGCCCACCCTGGGGAGGCTGTTGGCCTCATCTGTGCTCAGGTTGGTGCTTTTTGTCTGCTTTTGTCCTAGGAATAGTTTACTTTCAATGACAGCAAATGTGAGTTGTCTCCCTTGCAGTGCCATGGCAGTCAGCAGTATTACAGTCCGTTTGAGTTAGAAACGGACTGATGAATTGCAAATTTGATCATTGTACAAAATTGCCACATAAATATAAATAGTACACGTGTTTATCATTTACTAATACCCAACAGCTTTCTTATGTTTGAAAATTTTCCGAACTCCACCAAAAAAGTTGTTTAAGAAACTATCATCATTGAAAACGCAAAAGTTGTTATCTGTCGCGCCGGGGTGAAACTGCAGAATCGGAACAGCCACTATCTCGCCGCACGGGATACACATGCCTGATGAAAAATGAAGTTGAATGCTGACGGAAACAGTTGATGATTAAAGTGTACGCATTTTTTCGTGCTGCTGAAGCCGAAAGGGCAAACCATTTTATGCCATTAATAAATTCCGTAAGGCGGGCAGCAAAAGCTTTAGGAGTATCAGCAAGGGTACTGACAAATGTTCTGGAACACAAACATTGTGAGGGTGATGCTGGCGGTAGGGTCGTGTCAAAATCACACAAATTAAAACATTTGGACAACTTTCAAAAGAACCTTGTAAGGCAGTCTATCAACAAGCTCTATTCTGAAAACAAATACATGTCGCTGAACATTTTTAAAAAGCATTTGAAGCAAGAACACAACCTCAGAGTATCAAATTACACACTCTTGCGACTCTTACACTCTTTCAGGTATCGTTATAAGAAAATTTTGGGGGAGAGTAGGTCAGTACTCTGTGAACACCCTGATATCGCTCGCTTTGAGAAATAATTTTCTCAGGGTTATAAAGAAGAAGCGAGGAAGGGTTCGAGCCAGTGTACTTGTTAAAGGTCACATGCAACCAAAAAATCAAACATAATTAAAACACAATTATCACTTCTTCATGACATATAATATGCATTGCTGATTATGAAAACAAATAAACAAAATTATAAGCGATAATCGCAAATCAAAAGTGCAATATTTTGTACTTGGGTTTACCTCCCTCAAAACGAAGCAGCCGGAGATACCGAACCCAGTCAGAGCTGGTGGGTGTGCACTCAAGTGTAACGGCTGGTTCATTAGCAGATGCCACCTTCACGGCTCATTGTGTGTGTATATATATATAGAGATGTTGGGTTTTGTAAATACATGCTCATTTTTGTGTATAACATTTTGCAATCAACAGACATCATAACATGTCATGTGTTCAATAAACAGACATATCACAAGTATCACACCTGCCTGTCTGTGTAATTACATAATGTGACAGAGACCGAACTCGGGCCATAAATCAATGCGCTTTGTTTATGGTGTATAGCCTGATTGGTGTTAAGTTCAAATTGCATGTGGTCAGTGATCGCTGTTGTGTATTGAATATTGTCATTAGCAGACAGGCAGGCAGACACACAGGTGTCAATAAAACAAGACATTGAGTTTTGTCTGTGACAGCGACATATCTATATCACAGTTAGAAATTGTGTCAACGCTTAAATAATGACATTGCTTTTAAGCATCGAACTGAGAAAGTGACTCGGTAAGAAGAACGTGGTGGTGAAATAGACAAATGAAATTATATAAACAGTTTATTTACTGTCATAACATATAAAAGCTCTCGCTACCTGTGAGATATCAACAAAACATTATGAAAATAGCTCACACCAAAGCCTTCACCGAGTATTCACCAGACAGCCCGCCCAAGTTGCGCCGAACCTATTTCACTGCGCACGCATATGAGCACAGCCCAGCTGTTGAAACCCGTATTCCCCAGAAAAGTCTGGGGAAAATTAGTGAAACGCTTGAACTCCGATTTCGCTACGTTTTTCATCATCGCTATTTTTCAACTTTATAAGTTGAATTTGCATTTTGACGCTTTGTTTCGTAAGTCCATACCGAAAGGTATCAGAATCTGCAAAGTTGTGTTTTACGCTGCATGTGACCTTTAACGTGGAGTCCGGAAAATTTTCAAATATAAGAAAGCTGTTTGGTATTAGTAAATGATAAACACGTGTACTATTTATATTTATGTGGCAATTTTGTACAATGATCAAATTTGCAATTCATCAGTCCGTTTCTAACTCAAACGAACTGTAGTAACATTCATACTTGGACACAGTTGTATATTAGTCAATGACATATCAAAATTTCAGAATTGATGGTAGATATCAGACATGCTGGATCAGGAGTTTACGTTCCATTCTAGTTTTAGCTGAATGGGGTCTGGGGATTGTTATATCAACCTCACATGAGGTTAACACAATGTCGTGTCAACACGTCAATTGACAGCTTCACCGATCAGATGATTTAAATTCAGTAGACATATGATAATGTAGGTTGTTGTTGATAACCATGGAATCATCTCTCCCTTGTTCCTCAACAGTCCATTGGGGAGCCATCTACTCAGATGACACTGAACACCTTTCACTTCGCTGGTCGAGGTGAGATGAACGTGACACTGGGTATCCCCAGACTGAAGGAGATCCTGCAGACGGCATCGGTCAACATCAAGACCCCGGCCATGGACATCCCCGTCATCAACACACCCGAGGCCTACCGCAAGGCCAAGCAGCTCAAGGTCAAACTGGCCAGGGTCACTCTCTCAGAGGTGGGTTATACTTCATTGGAATAAGAATTTTTCTTGCAATACACAATATACCATGTCTGTCAGACATGTCTTGAATTCCTTGCATTTAGAATATTGCAGGGAAAGGTTATTTGGGCGTTATGCATGCTAAAGACATGTTTTTGAAAAATAAAAAAGTTATTGCGTTCTTTAATTATTCATGAATTATGTTTCAATAATTTGTTTTGAAAATATCCTAGATTTATGAGATCTGTGAAAATCATGATTAAGGTAGCCCTTTTTGTTGATGGTGTTAGATGCTCACAAGCTTTTTGACTCCCTGATGATGGAGTTTTTTTCTCTGATGCACATTTGTTAAGGTCTGCAAAGTACAAGGTAGCACTCACATGGCACTCTATCTAGAAAGGCCTTAAAATTACACAGAAATAAGGAACATTAAATTTCCTATCCTACGTTTTGAAAAATAGGCCCTGCTAAGTTTTCAAACTTTGTTATTCATTAAAAAACAGCAAATTTATTGTACACCAATAAACGCACTGTGTGAAAATTTCTTTATTTGGTATCCTTATAGAAACTGTGAGCAAACAAAATACTTTCGGGATATCTGAATGATATAAAGTTTTTATAACATGGATTTGTATGCTGATGTATAACATTATACATTCAATATAAAAAATGGCTTGTCACAAAAGGCGAAAGTTGAGTTTCCCAAATGAAGAGTTCACACAAGAATAAAGAAGAGGGGTCATAACTCCACTGTGCTTAACACAAGGTCATCTTAACTCAGGCCTCATGTGAATAAGGACACTATATTTTCTTGAGATTTAGTTCATGACTCTTAATACAAGGATCCACATTGTAACCAGATGCATTTTGTGAGAATCATAAATTACAAGAAATGATTAAAACATACAGGATGAGAAAGGAGGTGATAGCGAAATGCATGGCCTTGTCTAATATGTAAATCAATTCTTAGATTCCCATATTTAGCATAAACATAGAAGGAAGTGCCAAAGAGCTGAAGTATGGAAATGTGTTGTTTTTGTCCATTGGTGACCTTGACTGTTGTGTTGCAGGTGATACAGGAGGTGAAGGTCACAGAGTTCATAACAGCTCCTAAAGAGAGTCCAAAGTAAGTTCATGGAGGACATTTTGAGCCTTTTGAAGGTTTTGGAAGAAGACCATGAGTGTTTCCCAATTAACGGATCCATTTGTCAGTTTGACACACCAGTATATAAACATGAAACAGATTGTTATCGGCAAACACAAAGAAATCATGTGATACTATCAGGTGAATTTTCAGAGTGATGTATTTGGGTCCCACAGCTGTTTGAGAACATGTGTGCTTTGATCGCATTTGTAATTTCATTATGGAAACAGATGCTTTAGAGATTCTTTTTCGTGTTTATTTTTGCAAAGTTTGCACTCACATAAACCTTACCTGCTAATGTATTCTTTGCTAATGTAGTTCAATATGAAATTCACAATGTTTGTCTCCTGTGAGTGAAAGCTAGTGAAGATCACTTTACTGACTGTGATTTTGATCTATGAGTTCATCAGGAATCTATTACATTGTTAGGGGGAGGGTGGGGTAGCCTAGTGGTTAAAGTGGTCGCTCGTCACGCCAAAGACGATATCACGTATAAAGTGTAAAGCCCATTTCTGGTGTCCCCCGCCATGATATTGCTGGAATATTGCTAAAAGCAGCATAAATCCATACTCACTCACTCACTCACTCAATGTGTGAAGCCCATTTCTGGTGTCCTCTGTCATGATATTGCTGGAATATTGCTAAAAGCGGCATAGAACCTAACTCACTCACTCACACACTAACTCACACATACTAACTATACGACCCTACTTACTCACTTTCCTATATATGCTTTCATTATTTTGTGAAGATAGAATTATGACATATTGAACATTAAAACTAAGGCTTTAAAGTTTTGCTCTGTGATTCTAATATTACTGTTGCTGCTACAGTTTAAGTAAACGGAACTTCCGAGTGCGCTTCGTGTTCCTGTCGGAGAAGGTTTACAGGGACACCTGCTGTGTGAAGCATGAGGACATCTTGTGTTACATGGAGAAGGAGTACCTCAAGTCACTCCTGTCCGTCCTTGGGGCCAAGTTGAAGCACATCACATCCTCAAAGTAAGATTCTGCTTGGGATGGAGATGCACTTGAAATGCATTACAGTTGATGTCCTACTTGTAATGAACTTACTATTTCATGGCTTAACTTCCTACTTTACAGTATATTCCTACTTTACAGTTAAATTCGTATTTTCAGTAAATTTTGGACTTCATGGTTAACTCCCTTATTTATTTTGGACTCCCTTCTTTACAGTTAACTTCCTGTTTTCAGTAAATATTGACTTTACATTTAACTCTCTATTTTACGGTTAAGGTAATCTCCAAGTGAACTCCATACTTTACAGTTAACTTCCTGTTTTCAGTAAATATTGACTTTACATTTAACTCTCTACTTTACGGTTAACATAATCTCCAAGTGAACTCCATACATTATGGTTAACGTACTGTGTTTATCAAGTTTACTGTAAATTTTAAGCTATCCACTGGTGAAATAGAAAACCCCCACTGATGTTACACTGTGCAGATTTGCCACCCTTAGCTTAGCCAGGATCTGCTAGTTTTCAATCCCAGATTCACCCTGATAATGATCAGCACCTGGTCAGGCTACCGGTTTCACCTAAGTGAGAACTGTTTTGGACCAGCATCACATGGGTAATGGTAAGATGAATCCTGTTCATATACATTTAGGCACAAACTTACTCTTTTCCTAGAACTATTGACTCTGGCAAAGACCGGGGATCAGCCATGGCAACTGAGGGTGATGAGGATGATGTTGTAAGAAGAGATGATGAAGATGACCTTTCTGACGTTGACCCTAACGATGGTGATGCTGCCACAGAGAAGGAACAGTCTCGGCAGACAGACACCCAGGAATATGAGGAGGGAGAGGACGAGGTGGAGGAAGACGAGGAAGAAGGTAGAATGCCGTGATGAGTTATCTCCCCTTTGCTTGCTGTTGGCTGCAGGTTCCCTGAGCAGGACACATTTGCCCCTGGTGCCACACTATGTTGTGGAGAGTTGTCTTCCTTATCTGTTCCAGGATCCACCAATCATAGGTGTGAATCCCAGATTTCCCCAGAAAATGACCCTTGCTTTGTCAGCGCCATGCTCATGGACCCCACCAGTGGTAAACATCCGACACCTGCACGACTGCTTCTTGCCATGTTATAGTCACCATATGGCTGAAATACTGCCGATGTGATTTAAGATTTAACTCACTCACTCACTGAGCTGACATGCTGAACTGACAATGCTGTGATATGAATGAAGTACTGTTACATGGCAGCGTGTAACAAATTTAGGATCCATTTAGATGCATTTATGACCTGCATCACTAAATTTGGGTTTTCCTCCCACATTAAGCTGACAGGGTAAGATATATCTGGAATACCTTTCAGAGGCATCAAGCCTGACACATAGCAACATATGGTATGGATTTACAACTTCTTTATTATTCCCAACACAATGTGTCTGTGTCCTTTCATCAGGTGAAGGCTTGTGATGAATATGATCACAAGCAACATATATAGTGCATAGAGGAGGCCAGTGAGCTGGAATTAAAGAATGACATGTACAGAGTTCAAAGAGATTAAGTGCTATTTTTATGCAATACATTGGTACAGAGATTGGTAAATCCATACCATAGGTTGTTATGTTACCTTCCAACTTCTAAAGACCACTTCCTTGGTGTAGCGGTTAGAGCGCGTCTGCCCGGAGTGCGGAAGGGTGCGGGTTTGATCCCCGGCCGTGTCATACCAAAAGATGTTAAAATATGGTACTTGTTGGTCCCTGCCTGGCTCTCAGCATTAATGGGTACAAGGATTGGTCGGCTTGGAGTCAGTATAATGTGTCTGAGTGGGGTATTCATGCTTAACTGCGGCATGGTATCTCAGTGAGCTAGCACTATAAAACCAGCTTCAGTCTGGGCTCGTACAAGCAGCCTCACATACACACGCATGCACGTCGTCATATGAGAGAAACAATCTTAAGGCATGACTTAGATTCACTCATTTTGTTTTGACAGATCTGGATGGGAGTGAATCAGACAACAGCGAACCTGAAGATGAGGAATCTGATATCAGTCAAACTCATGACAGTCAAAACAAGAGCTCTGTTCAGTTTGCCAATCGAGTTCCTGTGGTAAGAAATTCAGACAGTATGTTGGAACTCATCAACTGTAACAGTGGTTGCTGTTCAACATCATCAACATGCTGGCTGTTGTGGTACTTGTTTCCGTGTGACATGGTTGTCCAAGTGGTAGAAGTTGGCACTTTTCTGGGTTAGAATTGATCTTCAGTAACCCTTGCTTGTCATAAGAGCTAACTAACGGGATTGGGTGGACAGACTTTGTTGACACATGTCATTGTTTTCCAATTGTGTAAATCGATGCTCATGATATCAGTCACTGGAATGTCTGGTCCAGATTACGTTATAACTGTTGTCATATAACTAGAACACTTCTTTGTTGCGTTAAACAACAAACAAACCAAACATTTCAGGATGGTGAGCAGAATTTATTAAATTTATACATTTTAAACTTACTCAGTCTTGTTGCTATCGTCCACTGCCTTTGCCTGGAACCATACCGTTTTTGTATGTTGCATGGTGTATTATTCCACCTCTATGCTTTGCAGGTGGATGTCGTGAACCAGTTCATCACTCAGTACACATTTGACAAGAAGAAGGGAAATTGGTGTGAAGTTGTGTACTCAGTAAGTTGTTTATATTCACTTGATAGATATCTAGATAGACACTTAACAGAGGAAGTTCTGCCTTAAATGGGTATAAAGATTTTGTTGTGTCCCACTTGTATAGAGATTGGTGTTGTAAAGAAATTGTAAATCCATACCATGCTTTGTTATGCTACCTTCCACATTCTAAATGCCCATCAAACATCTAAACATTCTTGCTCTCTCGCTCTCACTCTCTCTCACTCACTCACTCACTCACTCACTCACTCACTCACTCACTCACTCACTCACTCACTCACTCACTCACTCACTCACTCACTCACTCACTCACTCACTCACTCACTCACTCACTCTCACTCACTCACTCACTCACTCACTCACTCACTCACTCACTCACTCACTCACTCACTCACTCACTCACTCACTCACTCTTCCTTCAACTTCCTATTAACCAGGGCCCCATTCCACAAAGTGATCGTAGTGTTACAACCATCATCGGCCAATGTTAAAGAAAGGAAGTTATGCTCACCTTAGCACCATGATCGCTTTGTGGAATGGGGATTACATGTTTATGTTTTGACTTACCTGTATGGCTACTGTGTTCTAGTTTGATCTGTACAAGAGCAAGATTGACGTGCTGACAGTGATCCAGGCCAACTTGAAGAAATCCGTGGTCCATCAGGTGAAGGGTATCCGGCAGACGTTCCTAGTGGAGGAGAAGGGGGAACGCGGAATGGAGTGGCATCTCAAGACAGAGGGTGTCAACATCGAGGTAGGACCTTGGAGTAGTCAGGCTCACTGACACTAGAGCCTCTGTAGAGTTCATGCACAATGATACCTCAAAACTGAAGGGATCAACGTCACAATGAACATCTTAGCTCTGTAGCCTGATAGACGTTCTGCTAATCTATTATTTATGACTGCTTTGTAGATTGGAGATTGGAGATTATTTCCACTGATGCATCATCTGTCGGTGCAAGGTATAAAATTTTTCTAGTAGAGAATGGTGCTAAGTTTTCAGTATGAGATGTTTATATAAGGTTTACAGTGTGGTCTGGTGCCTCTTGATGTCTGCTAATTTTAACAAGCTGTGGAATGTAAAATTCATTGTGCTTGAAAATTCTGCTTTATGTTTAGAATGAGATGTCTGTAAGGTTTAAAATGGCGGCTGGAGCCCCTCTCCCCTCTTACACCTTTAACATAATCCCAGGTGGAAACATCATCACTCACATCTATCAGGACATGACCATTTATGTTGCGTTAGTCTGATGTTGATATGATCTTATTTGATGCTACTCTCCAGGAGATGTACAACTACTCTCACATCCTCGACATCAACAGACTCTACACCAACAGCGTCTTCGCCTTCGCTGCTGTGTATGGAGTGGAGGCCGCTTCTAGAGTGCTGCTTAAGGTAGGAGAGTGACCTCAGCGGTAGTATATTGTGTGTGTGGAGGTATCTGCTGGTTTAGCATTGTCATGAAAGTGAACCAGGTATTTTTGTGATCTTACGTTCTTGATGTTGAGCAAGGCTTTAATGGCACTGTATTCAGATCGTATGAAGACCTGCCAGTTACTTGCAATGTTGTTAAGTGGGATACTACAAACCATAAAATTAACAGGCCACTGTCATGTAGCCCAAAATTTGGATCTTGTAACATTCATAGTTTAGATTTAGGTTGTGTAACCACCATTGCTGATAACAGAGCCATTTGGTTTGACATCAGAAGCAAAAGACCTCTAAAATTAGAGTGTGATCATCATTCTTTGTTGAAATGCTTTCTCTTGCACTTTTATTTTGTGTCTCCAGGAAATATCTTCTGTGTTTGGTGGCTACGGCATCAACGTTGACTACCACCACCTCTCCCTCCTCACCGACTACATGACTTTCGAGGGTGTCTACAAAGGCATGAACAGGGGTGCCATCAACAACAACATAGCTCCCTTCCAGAAGATGACGTTTGAGACGTGCATGAAGTTCCTAGTGGATGCCAGCATCAACGGCAATCTCGACAATCTGCGGTCCCCATCGTCACGCATCGTGGCTGGACAGGTTGTGCAGTGTGGGACAGGATCCTTTGATATACTACAGTCTTTGGTGTAGATCCATCAGACATTCTTGGTTAGAATTGGATTCTTGCAACAACTTCTTGTCATAGGAGACAACTAATGGATGGTGGGCAGACTCAGTGATTTGGTTTTGCAGCATTGCAGCATTTATAGTCCTCTGTGATAGAGCTGGAATATGGCTGACTTCATTCTCTTCCCACAGAGGTTACTTGTCATATGTTCCTGCGAACCTCTGTTCTGATACGACCCTTTCATGGTGCTCGTGTTCAGGATTGGTTGCAATCACATTTAGTTAAGCAATCAGTGACCTTGTTTACAAAAGTGATCATTCGCAAGGCCTCGGTAATTTCCTTATGCTTTGGGAAAACTAGAACCTCTTCCCATGTGCGATGCGCAAACGTTTCTTCTAGACAGAACTCAGTCATGTAATGGCGGGTCAATGGCGTCTCAATGGACAATGGACATGCTAGCCATTAAATGTCTTGTGTGTCACATCAACACAAGTCCCCAGCAGAGGAGGGATATTTGTGGCCCCATATTTGTTTGCATTAGTCAAGTTGGATCTAAGTCGATGTTCTGATTGGATAGAAAGAAGGGAGATTATTCGTGTTGTGATTTTTGCTGCTAGGGTATTTTAAGAGAACCGGGAAATATGGCCGTATTAGAACAGAGGTTCGTAGGAAGATATGACAAGTAACCCCTGTGGGAAGAGAATGTGCTGACTTCAGTGTTCAGCAATATTTGGTGGCTATCTCAATTTGCCATGGGGAGGTGGAGAGATTGAGTCGACATAAAGGCATATTCATACAGATGCTGGTACTTTATGAACTTTATGGACTTGCAACAAAGTTTGTACATTCTTGTGTGTACAGTTGATGGTAAAAAGGGAACATGTTTTGTTCTTTATGTAATGTACAGTGCTATGAAGAAAATATATAAAGAGAAACGTGATGCTAAAATGTCACATATTAATATTGATCTGTTTGTGTGATTTATTGATTTTAGCTCATTTTTGACTGGTACCTTTGGTTTGGTACTAATAGTCAGTAAGTTAGTGGGTCATTGTTGGTGCCCTCTGGGCTTTCAGAGTGTAAGGGTTGCCTCCCTTAGCTGTACCAGGATTTGCTGGTGTTGGGTTTGAATCCCAGATATCTTTTTGATTGTATGGATGAAGAACTTCTTTATTGCAGTGGGAGCAGTTAGAACCTACACCGAAACGTCGCTCTCACTACGCTAAAGAAGTTGTTCATCCGTATATTGTTATCCATCCTTACTGCTCCAACTTCAAAATGCCTCTCAAAGAGGTTTTATATTGTGAGCAAAATATGTGTTTCTGGATTGCATCAAAATGGTGAAACTAAGACCTGCATCACTTCAGATTCCATCTGACTTTGAGCTGACGGTACAACACAAGTGACAAAACCGACACAACTGACACAGCTGCCAGACAGTTCAACACGGAGATAAGCACCAGGGATTAATATAGTGCTTGATTTGCGTGACATGACATGTTAAATATTGAAATCGCATGCATAAATATTTTCAACATGCCCTGGCAACATAACAAAATTTTTAAAATGGACATTTTGAATGCCATTGCGCATAATAGGAAATCCATATTTTTACGACAGCATAGTTTGTAGGTTAGCTAATGGTACCAGGACAAATGAAGCTGAACTATTCTGTAGTCTTGATAGGGCTCAGGAAATCCAGATCCGAGTTTATGGGTTTACATGATGTTTACTGACTTATTAAACAAACTGAAATGACACAACTGTTGTGATGTTTTAAGTCTGGATTATCGAAAGCTGTGGGCGGTTATTTTAACAAAGCACACCTAAATTATCTGTCTGTTGCATAATAAAAAATGCATATCTGTCCCTGTGAATGCTTACTCGCTGTTTATAGTTAGCTTTCTAGCAGATTTTCTAGACTATCAAATCCAGTGATTTAAATCCACTCATCCAGGAAACATTACAGACTGACAGACCCATGCAAACCTACTCACCTACCCAAGATAAGTTAACACCATAGAGACTTTTCTGGGTTTCATCTTCTTTTTATTGTTTGGTACAACGTTTCAGGGCTGGTTCTGGCCCCATCATCAGGTAGAACTAAAATACAGTAACTTAGATGAAACCCAGAAAAGTCTCTATGTTCATCAAATAGCATCTTCTAAAATGCCAATCAAACAAGAGATACCAGTCATGCCTACTGAAATTCACTCACTCATCCAGGAAAGTTATCATCAGGCCCACACATAAAAAAAATGTTACTGGTCAACACACTGTCTTGCACCTACTAACCCATCCAAGAGAAATTACTGACTGATCCACCCATCTACACATCCAAGAAAAGTTACTGACTGATCCACCCATCTACTCATCCAAGAGAAGTTACTGACTGATCCATCAATCTACTCATCCAAGAAAAGTTACTGACTGATCCACCCATCTACTCATCCAAGAGAAGTTACTGACTGATCCATCAATCTACTCATCCAAGAGAAGTTACTGACTGATCCACCCATCTACTCATCCAAGAAAAGTTACTGACTGATCCACCCATCTACTCATTCAAGAGAAGTTACTGACTGATCCACCCATCTACTCATTCAAGACAAGTTACGGCCTGATCCACCCATCTACTCATCCAAGAAAAGTTACAGCCTGATCCATCAATCTACTCATCCAAGAAAAGTTGCTGACTGATCCACCCATCTACTCATCCAAGAAAAGTTGCTGACTGATCCATCCATCTACTCATTCAAGAAAAGTTACTGACTGATCCACCCATCTCATCCAAGAAAAGTTACTGACTGATCCACCCATCTACTCATTCAAGAGAAGTTACGGCCTGATCCACCCATCTCATCCAAGAAAAGTTACAGCCTGATCCATCCATCTACTCATCCAAGAGAAGTTACTGACTGATCCACCCATCTACTCATCCAAGAAAAGTTGCTGACTGATCCATCCATCTTCTCATTCAAGAGAAGTCTCGGCCTGATCCACCCATCTACTCATCCAAGAAAAGTTGCTAACTGATCCATCCATCTACTCATCCAAGAGAAGTTACTGACTGATCCACCCTCTACTCATCCAAGAAAAGTTGCTGACTGATCCATCCATCTACTCATTCAAGAGAAGTTACTGACTGATCCATCAATCTACTCATCCAAGAGAAGTTACTGACTGATCCACCGATCTACTCATCCAAGAAAAGTTGCTGACTGATCCATCCATCTACTCATTCAAGAGAAGTTACGGCCTGATCCACCCATCTACTCATCCAAGAAAAGTTGCTGACTGATCCACCCATCTATTCATCCAGGAGAAGTTACTGACTGATCCATCCACCTACTCATCCAAGAGAAGTTACTGACTGATCCATCCACCTACTCATCCAAGAGCGGTTACTGACTGATCCACCCATCTATTCATCCAGGGGAAGTTACTGACTGATCCATCCACTTACTCATCCAAGAGAAGTTACTGACTGATCCATCAATCTACTCATCCAGGAGAAGTTGCTGACTGATCCATCCACCTACTCATCCAAGAGAAGTTACTGACTGATCCATCCACCTACTCATCCAGGAGAAGTTACTGACTGATCCATCCACCTACTCATCCAAGAGAAGTTACTGACTGATCCATCCATCTACTCATTCAAGAGAAGTTACTGACTGATCCAACTACCTACTCATCCAAGAGAAGTTACTGACTGATCCATCCACCTACTCATCCAGGAGAAGTTACTGACTGATCCATCCACCTACTCATCCAAGAGAAGTTACTGACTGATCCACCCATCTACTCATCCAGGAGAAGTTACTGACTGATCCACTCATCTATTCATCCAGGAGAACTTACTGACTGATCCATCCATCTACTCATTCAAGAGAAGTTACTGACTGATCCATCCATCTACTCATCCAGGAGAAGTTACTGACTGATCCATCCAACTACTCATTCAAGAGAAGTTACTGACTGATCCACCCTTCTACTCATCCAGAAAAAGTTAGTGACTGATCCACCCATCTACTCATCCAGGAGAAGTTACTGACTGATCCATCCATCTACTCATCCAGGAGAAGTTACTGACTGATCCATCCACCTACTCATCCAAGAGAAGTTACTGACTGATCCATCCATCTACTCATCCAAGAGAAGTTACTGACTGATCCACCCATCTACTCATCCAGGAGAAGTTACTGACTGATCCACCCATCTATTCATCCAGGAGAAGTTACTAACTGATCCATCCACCTACTCATCCAAGAGAAGTTACTGACTGATCCACCCATCTACTCATCCAGGAGAAGTTACAGACTGATCCACCCATCTACTCATCCAGGAGAAGTTACTGACTGATCCATCCATCTACTCATCCAAGAGAAGTTACCAACACACCCATCAACAGTTATGCATCATGCAGACATCCACTCAAATTTGTTTGCCCTCTCACTGGCATAAACTGAGGACCAGTTGCCTCCCTTGTCTGTTTATTTCCCCAATGATGTTGCCACAGACAACCATACAACCAATGCGCTTGTCAAAAGTTGGGTGAGATATTTGTTTGATGTCACTCACTCACTCACTCACACTCGTATGTAAATCCCCCACTGATGTCCCAGTTCACAGATAGCCATGCACCAATACACTTGTTTACTGCAGTGTATAATTCTTGTCAGTCATCCGTCAATATTCTGCTGCCCCAGGCTGCTGTTGGAGCAGTGATTTATCTGCACTAGGTGTCATCTGGTGACTTAGTGCTTGATAACAACAACTTGGCAAGGTAACTCAGTCCAGCAGCTGTGTTTGGTGGCCTTCTAACATTTAAACATAACTGCAGGATAAGTTTCCTTCCTACACTTGAATGCACATAAATACTTTTATGGACTTCTCATTCTCCTTGTTATGTTCCAAAACAATATTTACACGTTCGATCTCCATGTAGGGGGCGAATTGGAGATTACTTATAAACACATTGACACGTTACGATATTTTATGCCCCTCATGTTATGTTTCAAAACAATACACATTCGATCTTGGTGATGTAAACATGTTTACCATGTACAAAGTCCCCAATTAAAGTCAGGTAAAAATAGGTCTTTTGAAAAATCTAGTGTTTACAAATTCCCTTACTCTTCCCTTACCCTTAATGTGTATGAAGCCAATTTGTACTCCCATGCTGTTATACTCTAGGCACTAAATTACATGGTTTGGCTGTCAATATTCTGTGAAAAACTCAAACCGTGAATTGATTATTTGGACACAGATTTTGAGAAATTATACTCTGACCTGTCGGTCCAGCTTTTAATTGAGAAGCTGTCTGTAATTTGGATGTTTTTTTTTCATGTCCGAGGCAACATACTGTCTGCGTATGTCTCATAAACGCCCCATACAGGGGACTTGTTGATATCCCTGGCTATATATACGTCTCAGTATTTGCTAAGGATCATATTTACCGTCAAACAAATAAAGATTGAAATATCCTAATACTCAATGAATGGGTAACATCTGTAGGGCCTCCGTCTCGTGTTGAACCAAGCCATGCAGTCTGCTTGAATATGCATGAAGTACTTGAATGGCTGACAGACAGAATCGTAACACATTTCTGTAAGAGAGCACAACTCTACTGATACTGAGAAATGCCCTTATGTCCCCTTTGAATCAAAGACGTCGTTGATGACATCTTTGGTGATCAAGGGGACACCAGACGTTGTTGTGCGTAACCCAGTGAGATGCAGGTTGCTGAGCGCGTATCTCCAGCAGGAAGGTATCGTCACTTGTGGAACAACAGTGTCGTTAACGTTTAAAATCAGTGCGTAGTTGTCTTTGCGAGTCAGGGTCCCGATCCACAAAGCGTTCGCAACGTTACGACCTGTCGTAACTCTATAGTTTATCACAGGCTTACGAATGTCGTAGCGCTACGAACGTTTTGTGGATCGGGACCCAGGTCTCCGTTGAAGG